CTTTGCCCAGGGACCGGGCTAGCCTCCCTTTTTGAAATGCAAAGGGAGGTTAGCCACCCGAAATTTTTGTCCCAGGACCGGGCTAGATTTCCTGTACAAAATCAATGCAAAGGGCGGTTAGCCCCTCGGAATTTTTGCGAAAGAACCGCGCTAGGTCCCTTTTTAGAAACGCAGAGGGCAGATAGCCCCCCGATGCTTCTGTGTCGCCGGCATTGGGGTTAGCATGCAAGGGTCTTTACAGTGCAGGCAGAGGCTAGTCTGCCTGGCAAATTCTTTGTGCTCCGCGCGGCATGGTTTCGGTTCGATTAGTGCTTAGCCCATACGACGTCACGCGCGTCAGGCTCTGTCGACAAGCGTCCGGGCGTCAAATGTTGTCTCGTGACCTCTGACCTTATTTGAGGGCCGCTTATTACGCGACGTAGAGTATCAGCCACTTCGCCGACTTCGTGACGGAAGGGGATTTGGAGTTTTTCGCCGAACCCGACAGTACTCGTCGTTCCAGCGACGGTAGCAGTGCGGCATTCATCGCTGCCAAAGCGAACGACTACGGAATCAGCTTTAGCGAGGTACTGGGAAGCTCTAGGTCCTTATCCTCTGCTGAGAACTTTTACGGCACCAGTGCCGCCGCGTCCGAGCAGGAGCAGCCCGCCGAGAGTGTACAACCGCTATTCCCGAGCGAAGATTTTTCATACGCAGAAGACCCCGAGAAGATTGACATCGACGCCGCGGCCAGCAGGAGTTCTAGCTCGTCGTTGTCACAACTTTTCCACCGCTCCTTTGGCGGGTTATTCAATCCCGATTCTCTGTTTTCCGTGCCCGGGGAGGACAGTTTTGAAGACAAAATTTTCGTCCACTGCGTGGTGAGCCGCGACCTGGGGAACGACTCGTACACGTTGGCCTTGGAAATCAAGTTGACGCCACCGCAACACGAAGATTTGTACGGAGTGGTGTAGTAAGCTTCAGGAAGGAGCAAAAGCAAGTAGACATACATATAGACGTGTGCAGTAGGAGTCGAAACAAGGTGGAGCAACACTTTTTTTTAATGGTAAAATGCCACTTGAGTCGAAAAAGTTGAAGTGCCTTATAGCAACATGTAGTGAAGAAGAAGATAACGAAGTGAAGGTAGATCTCCGCAGTCACAATACAACACACAGTCACCAGTTCATTGAAGACGCAATCAAAGAGCACGCGAAGAACAGAAATGAGCTCATCTGCAAAAAAAGTGGTGGCCTCGAATTGGCGTACAGTCCAAAAAGCAAGCAGATGCCGTGTGTGAAGATGACAGATATAATGGAAGAAAACCCGCGCGCAGTCAGTGTCATGATTTTTTCGAAGCCAATTTTCCAGCGGCGCATCGGCATGAGATGCTGGTGTGTTTCGTCGGCCCAAGCAGGCTCATGCTCATGACTCTACAGAGATGTTGTGCCAAGGAGTGGAGGCGTATCTGATTGAGCGTTGTCAGACTTTATACTCTACATGCATCCTCCTCTCGGATGTAGTCGATTTCCGCAGACGGTAGCGCAGTGCTGCTTTATGATTCAGATTGATGGTTATTGACTTTTAGCGAAAATCATGAGTTTGTTTTCTCCAAGCCACGAGCTGTGTGATTCTGAGTCCTCGTCCGTTGAGGACGAGGAAGACGACCTCCTCGCGGACGACCTAGTTCCCGCGAAGAAAAAAAGCGCGAAACCACTTCGCAAAAAAGCGAAAAGCGCCGCGCGAGGTCACCTTGTCCGCAAGGGTGCCACAAACGAGAAAAAATCGCAGAGCGACCGCATCTACAGCGTCCATTCCGCTAGTACAAGGTCGACCGGTTGCCGGGACAATCAGCAGGGAGGCAATGCTGAGCTGCTCAGGGATGCGACTGACGATAAGGATAAGCACCACCAGCGGAGCGATGGTCTGCTGGGTACCACTTCTAGTTCATCTAGTAGCTTTTCCTACAACCGGGGCCGAGTCAATCACGTAGGCCCTCCTGTCACGCACAGCAGCGTCGCCTCGAGCTCAACGACAACAGCACTGGGCGCGGAGGGAAGCAACACCACCAACATGGCACGAGCCCGCGCTTATCCGTGTTACCCCGGCGGTGTTGTGCGATTCCCGGAAAAGTGGGTATCCGGAGTAAACAAAAGGCGCGCAAAGCAAGTCGGTCGGCTACTTAGACATTGTCGTGCTCAACGTCGTTAGCAAAAGCCAATCATGACGAGTGGCGAAGCGACAGCATGTGTAGAGTGTGTGAGTGCGTTTTACTTCGAAGTAGTAAAGAAGCAGCACCGGTATGATCAGAATTTGAAAAGCCACCAGTTCATGAGAGGGCTCAAACGCGGCGGCGTTCGAAGCGCTTACATTTGTCTTGCTGCACTTGTTTACTCTGATACCAGTGGGTGGTCGTTGCCAATGCGTACTCGCGGCAGGCTGCCTCGCAGAAGCCGGAGGCGCGAGTGCTCCTGCGTTTCTCCGAAATCTTTTCGGACTCCTACAGCTACACGGTAATGAGGCCAATACTGCGCCGGAGGCATCTCGAAGATAGCGGCTTGAGTCAGGACGAAAGGGAAGCGGTCCGGACGCGGATGCGCGCGGGCGTGTTGAAGCGGGTCGCCCGGGAGAAATGCGACGAGATCTGGGCCGATCTCGTCGCGAGGGGGGAACTCGATGCGGAGCGGCACACGTGGGAAAGCCAAGAGGCCCCCGGGCAACCAATCGGTCCCGACGACGAGGGCGCGGACAACGCAGGTGGGGATGGTGAAGCTGGGGCCATGCGCGGAGTTGATCCGGCTACGGACGACCATCCTTATCGGTCTCCGGATCATCATGATGATGGTGCCGCACGCGAAGAGGATAGCGATAGGGACGTCGTCCAGCGTACTCTGCGCGACATGTGCAATGCACTCCGGGAACTTGACCACGTAGATCTACAGGCGCAGCGATTCGGAACAAGATTGAATGTGGGTCCGAAGTTCCCCGTGCCCGCTCTGACCACTGCTGCGTCCAGCGCTTTCGATTCGGAGACAATAGGGGAGGAGAAGGCGAAGCGCCAGCGCCTCCTTGGTGAGCACGTGTCGGTCAGTGCGGTCTCGCGAAGGGTGGATGCGGTGGCGCTGGAAGTGTCGGGCTCCGCAGTTGCGGTTTCCTCCAGGTCGACTGGTTCAAGGCCGACCATGAAAGTCGACCACACTTTTTCGACGGCGCCCAACCAGGTTTCAACAGGAGGCGGCGCGCTTTTCTCTTCGAGTTCGAGTTCATCTGGTGTCGGAGGCGCTCGTGTTGCAAGGTTGTTAGGCGACGACCTCGCCAGCACGGGCACGGACCCAGCTACCCATGCACATACTGGAGGGCAAGCGCAGCACCAGAAAGAAATCCGGGGCGTGCCGCAGTATAGTCCTCACGCCCAACATTCCGTAAGCGGACACCATGGCCATCGAGGTACTACAGCAGTGCCACCAGGACCCAGCTGCAGCTTCGAAGCAAGTGATCAAGGACAGCATCAAGCGGTGACAAGTACGCGTACCTCTTTCAAGTATGCAGCACCGCGTCCGCTGCTGCACTTCCGAGGCACTCATCCGCGCGAGGAGCTAGATTCGGGGGCAGAGCCGCAAGAGTTTGTCACGCGAGCCAAGACGAACGACGACCACGACCATGACTTGAAAATACATGACCGCTCAGCCGCATCATACCCTTCCGGAGGAGGGGATGCTTCTGTCATCGATGCCAGTCGCTGTCGCAATCGTGTCCGGACCGGAGTAATAAACGTTGCAGCTGCACAAGCCGCTCCCGAGTTTTCAAAGTCCTTCTCTGTGGCGGAGATGGAGAGATTCGGGCTGGGCAACAAGGACAAAGAGACGGAAGGTCAAAACCAAGCAACGACGCACGCGGACGATCTCGCCGACGTTGCAGCCCCGTCACTTGATATTGCAGCTCGTACAAGCAGGAACAAGGCCGACGTCGTATTCACGTATTTGAGCACACTCTTGCTCGGTCCAACCGGAAAGCAGGAGCAAGAAGACTCATCTTTTCCAGCCGATGAGCTGGCTGGTAATAATTCGGTCACAAGTGCTTACGCGGAAATATTCTGGAAGGAGTTGGATTCTGCTTGTTCTCTGCAAGAAATAGCCGCTGCCCGAGATTTGAAGAAATGCGGATTGGAAGATTACGTCATTGCTGCGGTGCTGACAAGGCTCGCCAACATGCGGCCCGGTAACGCGGATTTGCGGCCGCCGCGTTCCGATGCTGAAGATAGCTTTAAAATTGACGAACAGAGCTTTCAAATCGTGTGGTACTTCGTCTCTCAGTGTGTCAAGGAGTTCGATAACAAGGAGAAAAATGTGTCGGAATACGAGGAAGCGAAGGATATTGTCCGAAGACTGGTTGGTCTTCTCGTCTCTCGTAGGATAACTACCAACACACTACGCGGCAAGACGTGCTTGGGGTTGAGCCTCTTTCGCGGCCAAACGAGCCCGACGGCGTTGCACCCGGACCTCGTTGAGCTTACCGGGTACTTGTGCCAGCTGCTCGACCTGCCAGAGGGTTTCACCTTTACCCATGTGGAAATAGCCGTCAATGAGCCGACGACATTCCGTGAGTGGCTAGTGGCGCCATCGGAGCGGTCGCCCCCGGGACGTGCAGCGCCATCATTGCCGGAGCGACAGGAGCGGGGTGAGGAAGTTTTGGTAGCATTGCACGGGAGCGGTTTCCGTAACGCTTTTCGCCTACTCAACGGAATGGAGGTGATGGATGGAAACGCGGAGTCGCCCGATGCGTGGTGTAACGTGGAGGAGGTCGGTTACCTGCATCACCATAAACCACGAGGGGCCAAGATTACACCCGGTTGGTTTGAGGAATACGATGAATTCGGTCAAGTAGCCCTGAAAACGGAACCCCAAACGACGCTGATGCCGCCAACGAGCCTTGATATCATGTTGCGTTTGTTCAGCAATCCGGTACAAAGCGACCTCATCGAAAGTGGCGTTACTGGAACTCCTGATTATGCCGGAAAAGCCGAGAACACCAAAAAAATGCGAGACGCCGCAACTTACTTAGACGGAAAAAAGTGGCAGCTGCCGACCGAGACTCTATCACTACTCGAATGTAGTGCCGTTATTCAAGAGCTGCGACCTCTCCCGGATTCCAGCCTCCTAGAAGGTAAGTGCTGCAAATAGATAATATGTTGACTATGTATTTACTGTATACATTTGTTTTATTGGCATTTCCATTTTGTGCTTTGTCTGCTTCTAACCGATGTGCTCAGATGTTTCATTTTTCAGTAGATCTAAGTTATCCAGGTGGCGAAGCGAAAACATCAACCATGCATCAACTCTTCTGTGTCTATAAACTTTGGTTACCAGCAGTAAAAAATTCTCCCAGTCTATTCCGCATCTCTCAATAGCGTCAGTAATTTGTCTTCCCAGGGCGTAAAGAGAAACTGCTGAGCGCAGTGTGGAACCTAGAGCATTTGGTGGAAGGGAACACCGGTCTGTTTCCGTTTGCGCAGGCAGTAGCAGTCGTAGAAGAAGACCACGACGTGGCGCCCCGAGTTCCCGCACCAAATCAGCAGGCGAGCACAGCAAGTTCGGAAAGCGCACTTCCATTATTTTCGGCAAGTGTTTCATCACCCTCCAGCGATCAGCAGTTTCGGTGCGATGCGTTACCCTTACCGGAATTGCCTCTTTCCCTCAGGCACGAAGACGAGGAAGGGGACGACACGCCCTTTCTGAGGCCTGCCGGTGTTTCATCACCCTCCAGCGATCAGCAGTTCCGGTACGATAACTTACCATTACCGGAATTTTCCTTTTCCCCCCGTCACGAAGACGAGGAAGGGGACTACACGCCCTTTCTCACGCCCACCGCCAGAGAAGGACTCACGAACGCGGGGAGCACCCCCTTTGCTCACAAGGCACGCAAAACCCCAGGAGCAACTCCACCACTGTTCCCTTTTTTTCGCGCGGCCGGCGAAACTCCGGGAGCAACTCCACCACTGCCAGGATCAACTCCACCACTGTTCCCTTTTGCTCGCGCGGCCGGCGAAACTCCGGGAGCAACTCCACGGTTCGGGGACTCAGTTTTCACGCCTTCGGGGTCTCTGTCCGGCTGCAGTGACGAAGCAGATAGTGGCCGAGATAGTAAATTCAACCTGGCCACCTCTGTCATAGCGCAAGACACTAAGATTTTGCCATCGGTCGTGTCCGGCGACGAGTGGTCCTCGGAACAGCAAAACAGGTCCAATAGCTCGCTTCTAGGATCATGGGATCATTCATCGCTCCCACTAAGGGATTCCGACGCGCAGACCAAGAAGCAGGATACATGTGGCCACGTGGAGAGGCAACAGGTAGGCGTGTTGCCGCCGCCACCTTCAAATCTTGCGAGACCTCGTCTTGCCTGGCCCGACTGGCGGCAATTTATGTTAGGGACGGAGGAGAACCTTCGGGAGGAGGAGGCCCCCACGCCGGAACCGGAAACTAGAGAATTTGTAAAGGAGGAAATCGTGGAAGAAGAAATTATCGAGGAAGACTTCTACGGAGCATGGGAGGAAGACCTCTACAAAGAGTACAGTGCGCCGGGCCCGGCGTTTTCCCTGCGCTTACCGCCATTAAGGAACCACTCCAACTCGCTGCTGCCGCACGAAACCGCAAATCCGCGTATCTTTGAATATCTTCGAAAGTAGTCTTGAAAATTGAAATTCAATTCTCTCGTTGCGTGTTGCCTTTACCTTTTATCGATTCAGAGATTTGTTCGAGTAGTTTGTTTGAGGTATCAGTCGAATGGGTGCTTAGTTTACATGACGAACAAACTCACTTGATACAAACTCGAAAAAAATAATCAGCTTCCGACGTGGCTTCCGTAAACGGTACGTACCGGCCGCCCAGCATGATCACGGGCACGCGCGCAAACCACTACCATTCGGGCAGCACGGCACGCGGCGCCGCGTCGGGTTCTTCTTTCCAGAAATGGGGCCCTTCGTTTAAGGAGGAGGTGATCGAGGAAGAGGTTGTGGAAGAGGAGGTCGTGCGAGATCAGGCGGACAACCACTGGCACCACAGGAGTGCGGCGCCCCGGCACTGGACCTCTCTGAAAAACGACAACCAGTCCTGGTACCAGTCCCACTGGTGGAGCAACAGCAAGCCGAGCTGGTCGCCTAAGTACGCGCAGATGGCGGATGGCAAGAACATCTGGAACACCAAGTCCATGCTGCCCGGCGCGTTCGACGACAACGGCAGCCTGTACGGCGGTGGCGCTGGAACCTCCGGAAAGAAGGACGCGCAGGACGTGTGGCACTACAGCAAATCGAACGCGTGGTACAACGGCGAATCCATCGCGCCCGCGTCAGAGCACTATCGGGGTGCGAAGGACTGGAGTAGCAAGTGCGAGAAGTCCAACAAGAAAACGAAAAAAAAAGTCCTGAGCCAAAAGAAAAGCAAAAAAGGTGGCGCGCTACCTAAAAAGAAAAGAAAGAAAAACAAAAAAAATCGATAGAAAAAAGAAGAAGAGAAGAAAGGCCTACTGCGAAAAGTGGTGGAAAAAAACAATATTTGAAGTGAGATAAATTTTGTTCCTAGATTGTATGTTACTCGCGAGGAAGAAGAGAAGCTGCAAGCCGCGGAGGAAATGCCCGCAGACCCACTTGTCGCGAGCACCGAGAACCCGAAGAAGTTCGCCCACCTTCGACCGCAGTTCATGCCGGATCAGCACTATTGACGGATGATGAGCACGCTAGCCAGGCGGAAAAGCCGGAAACGCACGGCACTTTAGTATTCGCCGAATGTACCACGACCAGTGAAAGTGCACTCGCGGGCCACCAATCAGCAGTTTGAAGAAAAAAAGACGACTTTTGCAGAGTTCTCCGAGGAGTTGTTCGATAATCCTGACACTCTCGAGGAGAAGGACGATTTGCCGCGATGGTTACACTTGCCACGAGCGCAGTTCTCGTCGAGCAAATGGTCGTCGCGAAGCTGCAGATCGACTTTGTTATCGAGACTGTGTGGCAGCAAGAGCAGCAAAAAACAAATGCCGCAGATTAGAGCCCGACCTCGGCTCATGCATAGGGAACATTGTCGTAAGGATCAATCAGGATTTGTTTGCACTTTGCCGAGAAAAATGCTTTATATTCACTGCGCAAGGCGGAAGACGAGCGGCTCCTTCCAGCAGTGTCAGCGACGACTCGTCACCCGCATTGTGTTTGCTCAAAGTTGCGGACTTAGAATCTCGTTGCATGTAACGCGACCTTTTTGGTCAGCAGTTCGTCTCCTGGCCGAGCGCGTAGAAAGAGGATGATCACATGTTTGTGTTTTCTATGCACTCGATGGTTGTTGACGGCCATTTGTTGCATTGATCTTTTTTGTGTTTTTCGAATTTTTGAACGATCCAAAAAGACGCCGGCTCTCCGTTCAAAACGTTTTTTGTGATCATTTGTTTTTGTTTTATTGTTTGTGGCTCGTTGGGCGACTGCTTGAGTCTTTTTTCGGGCGAAAACGATTTTTTTTACGCCTGCATTCATCGGCGTCAAGTCCGACAGCGCTGCATAGAGGCTAGAGGTGCAAAAAAAAACATGAAGTCAAGATTTTCCGCCACTCTGCCGTCGCTTTCGGACAACCGACCGACGAAGTTTCTGTTGCGCTCCGTGTTGTATCTTCTGTATCAGCTGCAGTTTCTGTTTGCCATCCCCTTCTGGTCGGCGCAGGAACGCTTCGTCACCGAATCCGAGTACCACGATCTGGTCGGGTTTCAGGACCAAAATGCCACCGAGCATCTGCTATGCTGTGGTAATAAAGGCACTGAATCTTCGTAAACACCGACTCGGCATCAACATCACAATGGATTTTTTGCATTACAAAAAGATAAAAGAATACTGTCGCCTGTTTTTTGCCTCAGTGTAGTAAGGATGCAATGACACCACGAGGTCGCCTGGCTTCAAATTATTTGGCAAGTGATTTATTGTACGAAGTAAGAACGATCTATCAACACGTTTTTGCCACCTGCATATCTCTCCTTTCGCGACGTTTTCTTCGTCATTTCCACCTGGTACAGTGAGTACGAGCACGCGAAGCTGGCGAAGCACGCGTGGCTGCAGAACCTGTGGCAGGTGGCCTTCATCACGGACAAGAAGAATGACCTGTTCCCGATTCACCAGCAGGATGACTTCCCGCCGGAGGAGTACCCGACCATTTACGAGGGGAAGTTTGTGTTGTGGATGCGGAACACGGAGCTACCGGAGGGGGTCAAGTGGGTGGTGGTTCTCCCCACCGTCGACGCCTTCATCCACCTGGGGCACTTGTACTACTTCCTGAAAACGCACACGCCGAAGCTTCGGAACGAAAAGACTGTACTAGAAAACGGGCAATCTTCGGAGGACGAGGCGGAGCACCAGCGGGCCGTGATGTTCGCCTCGTTTGCGCCGAACACGAAAGTGTTCGACTACGACCTGCTTCCCTGCGGCCCCGTGATTTTGAACCGCGTCGGCTGGGACCGCATGGTGGGCGAGATCACCAAGCGAGAGTGCCCCTTCGTGGAGTCCAACGCGTTGTCGCTTGGCTTCTGCGCCAGCACGCAGGGGGTCACCACCGTTTTCACGGAGGCGCTGAGCTGCAACCCGCCGAGCGGGTGGACCAACGGGCTGGACCTGGTCGGCTTTCTCGGCCTGTCGCAGATGCGGGCGGAATTCGACAAAAGGCAAATGCAGGTGGTAGATGAGGGATTCCCGAACGCCTGCAACCATGGTGTGGGAATTCCCAAGAGAGGACAAAGTTTACCTGAAGCTGAAGAGCAACAACAAGAGTCCGCACCAACAGAAGGAGCCGAAGACCAGTTGGAACAAGCAGCTGCCCGTGCGATGATCCAGCCCAGGCAATATTTCCAGCCGTCCACCGTGCCAAATTTGCGGTCGCTGGTGGAGTCGTTTTGCTTCCAAGGCGCGCGGAGAACGTCCGCGGTCGGGAGGAGCTTACTGAGTGGGATGATGATGGAGGAGCATCCTGACAACGATAGAAGTCCCGACGAAGATATTGTCGAGGAGAACTGGGATTTCAGTTCGGACGACCCCGAGAAGCTGCTGAACCAGTTCGCCAACCGCGGTCCGCAGCTGCAGATAGCGCACGACAAGAAGAGTGCTCCTGTTAGAGGTCTTGATAGACCACCAGACGCAACCGACCCCGCAATTCTCGCAAGCCACGAGTACGAAATTCTGAAAGAAAACGGCGACCTCGTCCTCTCCGACGCGAACTCGGAGGGGGCGCTGGCGGAGGTCCTGTTGGCGGACGTGACGGAAAGGAGGAGTAAGAAGTACAAAAAGCCGCTGCGAGACCTGACGGCCGATCTGCCCTGGGTCTTCTGGGTGCAGGAGGGGTTGCGGTTTATGTACGTGAACCAGGAGGAGATCCGGTATTTCATCCGGCAATTCCAGGCCAACTACGACACGAGGTTCGCGAAGCTCGTCGTCGGATCAGTCACCGAAGACAACCATATACTGGCCCTGCACGGACTGCTGCTTTCCCCGAAGGCGGTTGATCTGGTGGTGACCCAGTCACTGCAGGCACTGCTGCTGGACCCGCAAGCGGTCATTGTCCACTCCTCCAAGTTCGTCGCGAACGACCACCCAACGGTCAGTTTCTTGCCCAAGACCATCTACGGCACGATCGCGACGCACGCCGGCGTACGAGGGTGAAAATATTGTTTGTTTCCCTTGTTCCTCTGATTTGCAGCGCTTGATTACCAGCTGAATAGAAACGCCAGCGGGAATTGCGGCTTTTGCATGACAAGGTCCATTTTTACGCGGCGCAGAGTGTACGTAGTTCTACTGTTTCGACGGCTTCGAAGATTCGGCATTTTGCATGGGACGCACAATGGGGACGAGGGAAAGGTGTTCACTCTCATACTGCGTTTTCGCCGTACGGAAGCTGAAAAAGGGTCTGGTGCATGACCTGGAAATGAAGGAGCGCGAGCACACGCTCTGGTTCCGCGAAACCGAGTATGAGTGGCGGTTCGGCTTTGCATCCAGCGAGAAAAACCTCACGCAGTACTTCGACCGCCGGACCACGGTAATAGAAAAAGAGGACACTGGTTCGTCTTCTGCCACAAGGGATGAAACGTCACGCACGTCGGATCATGAATCATCACCCGAAATGATAAATCACTCGGAGCAGCAAGGTCTTGCCGATTCTGATTCTTTCCCTCGCGAAGCGCTGTTCACCGAGGATGGGGGTCCGGCTCCGATCAAGGTATCTAGCAACAGCACAACCGGGATTTTCTACATCCACGGCCAGAATCACATCGGCATCACCAAATCCGGCGCGGCGGGCATGCGAGAGTTCCGGAAGCACCAAGTGCTGTTTCGGTCCGCCATTGGGTACCCCATACAGCTGTCCAACTCTACCACTGTGATCTGCGATAAGACCACTATCGCAGAAGACATCACGCAGCTGGAGGTGGAGGAAATATGACGTATAGTTCGGTTCGCTTTATTCTCACTTGGCGTGGTGTTGCGCGTCGCTGTGGCATTTGCACATTGTGCCACTTGGTCAAGTCACTGGTGCTGGTCTAGCCATCAAAGGATCGCAGAAATGGTGACTTGTATTTGCCGTGGGGGCTCTGTCTGAGAAGACGAAACTGTGTTCGCATGGGTCCTCGGAACAGCGAGGAAAAGGATCGAAAATGTGATTTGGCATATTTGATGTTCCGCTATTCATCTGACGCTATGTATCCTTAGCTGTATCGCTTCGAAAGCATAGCGCGCAGCGCGCCGACGCGCAGTGGTATTGTGTAGGGTCTGATGGAAAAATGCAACGAGAAAAGGCACAGGCTTGAGCGAAGAAGTCTTCTGGGTACGACCGCGCTTGTTGATGGCAGCTGAGGGTTTTTCGAAGCCAATGTCTCTCCTGTCGTAGGTCCGCATTAGATTAGGTAGCGTGAGAAATAAACTCATCAACCGGGGCCTAGGCTCCGCGCTTCTTGAAGATTTATGATTTCGACACAGCCGCACAGGATTCTCACAGGATTCTAGTCATCAGTATTCCCTAATCTCCTCCTCCCTCCGTAGTCAACTATAATCATCTCATTTGTTTCCAACCCCGACATCATTTTTATTCGCCGCCTTATGAAACCGGTATCATGTCCCTTACTGTGTCGCTGTTCGGGATGCGCAGACGCGTCTGTCTGTGGAGTGACGACGAAGGCGGGGCTCTGGACCAGAAAGTCGCTCCACACGCAAAATATCAAATGTAAAAATGTCTGGGTCTGGAAGAGTCATGCTGTTTCTGCATGACACAGAAGGGCTGGCATGGAAGCTCCAGCATCACAGGTTTCGAGAAGCTTCCGCAATGCCGAATCCGCATGACAAATCTCCCACTTTGGTGACAGAAAGTGGGCAGCTTTTTCTACCTATGCATGAGAGATTTTTCTGTGTTCGGAAATACGCATCACAAGTTTGGAATCTTCCAGACCCAGACATTTTTACATTTGATACAAAAGCTGCGAATACGAAAGCAGGAGCCAATGACAAGGGGAGGCCAACAAGTGCTGAAAAGTCACCGAACGTAGTGGAGCCTCGTTCTGACGCGTCGTCTGCACCAGGAATCCAGCCTGAAAGTGGTAGCAACAAGCGTACCATGGTCGATTTCAGCTTGTGGCTTCGCCAGACCTTCAGCGAGAAAATGCGAGAGGTCGACGCGGAGCGGCGGCGCCGGAGGCTGGACCCGGAGTACGAGAGCTCGCGCGAGAAAAGCCAGAGCTTCCAAGCCCAGCTGGAATCACGAGGCGCGAACGTGGCGGGCGACCGCGTCAAGGCTGCTCATGTGTCGAATGGTGGTATCGGACGACTGGAGCCGGGGGAGCGCCGGGCTATCCGCCACAGGCTGGACGAAGAGGAAGCCGCCCGGAAGAGGCGGCGGGTCGAAACGGTCGGTGAAAATACTACTGGAACAACTGCGAATCAGGAAGAAAAGCGGGAGCGAAACGCGATGGTTGCGCAAGGGGAGAGAGCAGTGGCCTCCGCTCAAGAGGGGGGCAACAATGGTGAGACCAGTGGCGCAGGCCCGCCTGCAGCAGTCCGGACGGACGATGACTCTGGTGCCAGCCGGCACAGAAATCCAGCCGGAGGGTTGGTACGAGGTGCAGTTGTCGCCCCAAAGAACAACACGAATGCCAGCAGTGCGCCAGGAGGAGATCACGGTAGTGCCAACGTGAATTACGCGCAGCAGCTTGTGGAAAAGAACAAGGAAATAGGCCGTGAAATGAGTAAAGCTGCTGCAGAACAAAGCACGACGCCGACCAAAGACGGTGCTGGTAGTTCGAACAAAACCACGGCTGTGTCCGAGTTCCACCGGTGCTCCCGACTGCACTTCCTAGGCACCTGGCGAGAGCGGTTCGAGTATGAAAAAGAAAAATCCCCTCTCCCCATATCGAAGGGGCATCCCTTTGAAAATTTGTGATGCCTGCACTCCTTTACTGCAGCACAAATTTCCTTTGTGTGCACAAATGCAGCAACCCAGGGGGTTGCGGACCTGGCAAAGCCGATAAGTCCGTGCTGCTGACTGTTCCACTTCCTCTTAGCGGTACCAGTTTCGCCGTCGCCCACAAATGCAGCAACCGAAATTTCCGTTTCAATATGGGAAGGAGGGATTTTTCCTTTTGATATCGAGAAGTGGAAGATCACGCTTCCGGTGATGCCGCACCCGAAGTCGGTCGAGCAGCAGAGCAGTCTATCCAAGAAGAAAACTGTCGTGTAAGTGTAACTTTGTGTTGCAGACGATGCAACAAGACGATTCATTACAGTTATACCTGTCATGCTGGACATGCATCAGATGCCCTTGTCGTACGTGTTTTCACGTACTAGCGACGCATGACAGGTTTGCTGTGTCATGCAGAGCAAGCTTGTGATGCTGTTCCTCCAAGAGAGTTACACGTACACAGTTTTTTTCTTGCATACAGTCACCTGGTCGCTTACTGCGACATGGACGCGTTCTTCGCCTCGGTGGCTTATTGCGAGGAAAAATCGCCCCTCCCCATATTGAAAATGCATCTCTGAAAATTTGCCATGCAAATTAGAGACCACAAATCGTGCCTGTCTTGCAAGAAGGCAAGTCGAGAGATTCCGCCACAGTATGCAGGCAGTTTGTGATGCTATTGGGCCTGTACCATTGACGTCTTTCATGCTAGGCGTCTACGTGAAAACCTCTCGGCGCAGGCTTGGCATATGCCTGCAGTCCTTTAATGCAAGACAAATAGGGTTTGTGTACGGAAATCCGGCATCAGAAACTTCGTCGGCATATGGGGAGGGGGCTGCTTTCCTCTCGATATGCCGCAGCGCAACTTTTCCGACGCGGAAAAGCAGCTCCCCGCGGCGGTGGTGTCCGGGCTGCACGGCTACAGCGAAATCTGCTCCGCCAATTACCCGGCGCGGAAGCAGGGGGTCCGCGCGACCTACGTCCGCCAAGCCCTGCAGGTGTGTCCGACCATCAAATTGATCGCGGTCACGCCGGAGCTGTTGTTGGAGGTGGAAAACGTCTGGAAGTGCGTGTTCCTTTTGCTGCGCAAGGTGGCCCCGATCGTGGACATGCGGAGTTGCGACGAGGCCGTGTGCCGCGTGCCGGTCGAGTACCAGGACCGGCCCAAGCTCTGGGCGGACGCGATCCGCGAAATGGTCTTCAAGGAAACGAAGGTCACGCTGTCTATCGGGGTCGCCAACACGCAGATCGTCGCCCGCATGTGCTTATCAAATGCAAAAATGGCTGGGTCTGGAAACTTGTGATGCTAAAATGTGCATGATGAAATCACTTCCGAACGCAGTCCGGCATGACAACTCTCCAATGCGCATCAGAAACTGCGTTTTTGCATGACAAAGGAGGCTGCGACTTTTGGTGGTTATGCAGTACAGATTTTCTAGGTATGGAAAGCTAGCATTACAAGTTCCAACCTTCCAGACCCAGACACTTTTACAATCCATAGTGCTCCAAGCAGGCTAAGCCAAACGGCAGTAAGTGCGAGCTGGAGAACAACAATAAACAGTTTTATCCTAGCGAAGCGGTTCTTGAGACAGTAGGGTGGAGGGCAGAGTCGAAGAAAAGTGGAAATATGGCGCAACGGCTTTTATTTCATTTTTCCCATGTGCAGGTTTTGGTTTTTAGTTGCCGGCCAGTTACTAGATCGCGTGTTCAGTTTGTTCGTGGGGTGGTGATTGGATTCATCAAGTCGAGGTTGTAGATAGAAATCTCGTTGTGCAGCTGCAGCCGCTTGCATCATGGGCACGAAAAAGAATCGAGACGTATAAACCACTTTGTTTAGGATTCGCGATTTCTGCACTTCGCCCTGCTGTTTCGAATGTTTCGGTAGGATGAGCTCATGGCGAACATTCCGTTGCAGGATCTGCCCGGGGTTGGGCGAAAGATTTTGGAAAAGCTTCAGAACAACAATGACATCAAGACCTGCGGCGAGCTGGTGCGCCGCGGTCCGCGCTTCTGCTCGCACTGCCTCGGGGGCAAGACGGGCGAAAACATTTACGCGTTGGCCTCGGGGAAAGACGTGAACTCCGGGGGGTATCTGAGTCAGGAGGTGCTCTTGAACCTGAGCGAAAACCTGAAACTGACGGGCGTGCGCCTCGGCAACGAGCCCCGGGAGGTGGTGACGAAACGAAAGACCATGTCCAGCGAGATGAACTGGGGCGTGCGGCCGAAGTCCAAGGACGAGGCGATCACGCTGATCACCGCGGTCTTAGAGGAGCTCTTCGGACGGGTGCCCATTCGACGGGCCACCGACGCAGCACCGGACCCGGACCGGCAGCAGCCGCTCTTCTTCAACATTGTGCGCCTCACCGTGCGGGCCCTGATCGCCGGGCCCGAGTGGCAGGAACCGCCGAAACCCGGGGGGCACGGGGTGTGCGACCAGGTCTCCAAGTCCTTGGCCTTAAACCACAACGAGGCTCTGGATACGATAGTGGAAACAACTGGAAGCTGGAGCGAAGGCAAGATCTATTTCATATGTAGTTTTAAGTTTGCGCAGCGCCAGCCGGCGTGGCGCAGATAAAAACAAGAGTGTGGAAGTGTGGAAAATGCATTGAAAAACTTAAATGCGACTGCGAGGCCGACGTATGTCGCCTGATGCGCCCGTTCCGACTCAGATACTTGTCTTCTATGGACAAGACTAGAACTACTCCTATCGCTGAAAATGCTGTTGGTCATCCAAAGTTGTTTCCTACCATACATTTTTCAACGGGCTTGCTGGTGTTTAACGACTTGCGGATCAAGGATCACAGTCGGATACGCGGCCTGGGCGTCACGGCCAGCCTGGAGTCCGAAAAGAAACTAAAAGGCACAGGCCAGCCGGGCGGTGCTCATTTTTCGGGAGCAACGTCGGGAGGAAGTGGGGCACATCCGCAGCTTTCCACGTCAGGGGCGCATAGTTTCACCGCTGCCCGAATACAGCCAAAGATTTCGGATTTCCTGAAATGAGGCTTTTGTTGATTGAACGAAATCTGGGCCGGGCCCAAGTGAAGAATATCGGAAGACTCCGCGAAGACCTTGGATATATACTTTCGAACATTGTACGATCTAGCTAAAATTTTTGCGACAGAGATGAAAATAATTTATGTGAATGGATTTGATGCATCTGACGGTGCTTGCAAGCTAGACTGAAAAAACCAATACCCAATATCAATAAAGTGCGCTGGTATTATTTGCCGGGGCCATTATGCGTTTCGGTTGGCTGTGAAAGTGTGTCTGTTTCTGTTTGTCGTTTTCCTTCGCGTATGTTCGGTATAAGTCTGTTTTGTCGTCATCGTCTCAGTGGTTTAAATGTCGGTCACAACTGGTTCGCTTTCCCAACAGAATGGTCGTTGGTCCGATTTTTTGGGCGGGGAACTTACTAGACAAGAAAAGCATGACAGTACGAGTTTTTTCTTCAAGCGTAGAGGAGGTACAAAGTGAGCGACATGCCGAAAAGAATAAAATGGGGAAAGAACATCAAGGCAAGTGCGGGTCCTGACAAAAAGACAACCCATCGAATAAGTCAAAGTGAAAAAGTAGAACAGCAAAAAGTAGGATTTATGTCCAGTAGCTAGGCGAGCAGCAGGTCCTTAAGCAAGTTCTTGCAGGTAGTAACCTAGGGGAACTTGCTGTAGAATAAGTCGGTTCAGGGGCGAAACTGAGACGATGTGTAAGTAGAGCAAGAAGTAGAACTGTTTACACTACAACATCGAAGCAAAAATACAGGTTGGCATTACAACAGTGCTTGTTTGATAAAGATACGCGAGGTTATTTCAGGAACCGAGCCTGCTGTGTCTATCTTCGGAAGAAACTACTCCACTATGCCGTACTACGCGAACGGTACCGGCCGGGACTCCTACATCCTGGACGTGATTCGGGGCGGTGCAGACCACAATGCGGGTGGAAAAAACCAAAAATATAACAAGCCCGTGTCCTTCTACCACCAGAAGCGCTCGAACGATCGCAACGTCCTACCCGCGGAGACTATCCAACGCAAGTATAATTCAGTCTCGGCCCTCTCGAAGCTTGCAAAACTGGTACAATACATAGGCTTGGATGACATGATGTTCAGGGGTCAAAAATCTGCTATGCGTGTAGCGCCGCAGCGCCATTCGTTTGCCTTGCGAAAATGCGATGTCCTGGTCGTGCGGATGACGTAGAAGTTTCTCAGAAATTGCTCATGCCTGTCTCTGTAGTCCACATGTGTTACTCTTACTTTCCTAGAAATTGCAGCACAACTCCAAGACTCTTCCGGAGGGCCCAGCAGGAGCACATAGTACTTTAGCGTTGGATAGAGATGGAGCGGTCGCAAAAGCTCGTTGGACCTTTTGCCTACACCACTGCCAACCTACTCAGCATGAACAGCAGTCTGCGGGACAGTTTGAAACGGCCGCAGAGCGCCATGCTGTTTGGAGCTGGCGCCTCGACGTCAAATCATACGTATCCTGTGCAAAAGTATCGTACTCGTACTAATTGCAGCCATGCATGGCAGATCTATTTTCTAAGGGAAAACAGCATTACAAATTGCATTTTTCTTCTTGAGCAAATTTGTAATGCAATTTATACTAGTACGATGCTTTTGCATTGCATAGTACGACCTTCGCGGCAATGTTTGGCAGCAAAAAGTCCTCGGGGTACTTATCAAAAGGAAAAATCCCCCCTCCCCTTATCGGAATGGAAATCTGTGATGCCGAAAGGGACGAACAGCCCGTAGACCTCCGATGTGATGCAGGATTTGTGTACAGAAATCGGATTCGTCTTGCGGTAGAGGACTGCAGACAGATACAAAGCCCGGAAAGGGGTGGCTTGGGGTAGGCACTTAGCATGGCAGACCGCAGACGTCTGCCCTAGTAGCGTAGCAGCATTACAAATCGCCCGCGAAATGCAGCGGAAGCCCTGGCCTTGCTCTCTTGCAAGACAGACGGGATTTGTGGCCACAAATCAGCATCACAAATTTCGAAAAGCGCACTTCTTCGATATGGGGAGGGGGGATTTTTCCTTTTGATAGTACTTGCCGCAGAGCAGCTGCGCGAGCTTGTCGAAGTTTTCCTCACCCGCGACAGCCGCCGTGGCGCACGCGCGCGGCCTGGACCAGAAATTTCAGCCCGCGACGCTGATGAAAAGCACCAGCACCGCGGCGCAGCAACTCAACGCCTTCTTCGATGATCAGAAGAGCGTCGTCAAACCAGGAGGTCGGATTTTCATCTATCTCTACATGAAAAATAATTGAGTCGTGACTATGCCGTGTGCAACTGAGATATTTAGTTCAATAAGTCCGCAGCACCTGGAAGTAGAAGCCGCTTCATTTTTTGACAAGCATTTTATGAACAAACTTGTTGAAAAATAATGCGACGTAGTGGTGGAGATACATCACATCCTCGATTGACCAGCAGGGTGCAATGAAACAACTGTAGGTCTCGCTTCGTCTGCCGAGAACACTCCAGCGACGGTTTTAAACGCGACGATGCCGGGGGGCGGATTTGTCTCGACCCAGAGTTTTTCCTCCGTGCCAAACCCATCCACGAGAACGCCGCCAAGTCAGAAGGCCGGTCAGCCGCCAAATTTCAGTACATCCGGAAGGCAGACGCATCAAATCGTCCCTCGTGCTCAGTCTGCAGATCCGAGGATACGGGCCGCGGCAGCTCCTGTGCACAACAACAGTGATTACAATGGGAGCTGCGGTCGTCCGACCCCTGCGGCAAAGTATCGAACAAAGCAAAATCGGGTAGTTCGGTTCTTCGCAGCAGCGATCAGCTCGAAGTTTGATAAAGTTGGAGACAGATTATGCCGTCGGTCATGTCCGAAGTGCATTATGAGTTCTCGCTGTGTTTCTACAGCTTTTATGGTACAACTTCTCGCCGGCATTCTGTGCCCCTCGTCGGCAAATTCTTTCAAGGCATAACATAAAAGACCATTCGGAGCAGGCACAGCCGACAAAAATTAGTGCCACGACAGGCTCCTGTCGCTTTTCCTTGTACAGTAGGCGTTACGCACGACAATGAATATCGATGCAGGAGGTGAAGAAAGAGTTCTACTTTGCCACCGGTTTTTGTTCGATAGAAAACCTGTTTTTCAGCAAACCCACCAGAAGCAACAGGCGGTTTTTCCGACCCTGTTACAGGGGGACAACAACATGACGATCAACCTGGAGCATTCATCCCAGCCGCTACCGCAGGCGCAGAAAACGTCGACGTTTCTCCTGCAGGACTTTGTGCCGAAGTCTAGTTTGAGCAGTTTCGAACGGGACCGCGTCGTGCCCCTCGAGGATATGCGCAGACTGTATAAAAAACGGCCTTCGGGCTTATTTTCTTTTTTTGGATTTGATAAGGTGAAAATCCTCATCCTCCATGAGCCTGAGTTGTTGAAAATAAATAATTGCTGACATTCTAGTACAGCAGCGTCGAATTTTTATCGACTAACTTCAAATGCGAGAATGAAAAAATCCACGAAAAAACCGCACAGGAAAGAGTCCGTCTTACGTGAGTGCCGGGTGTGAATTCTTCAAAATGGACCAGCGGGTTTGTATAGGATACTATACAATCAGCAGTTAACAGCACGGAGGAATAGTAGCAGCACTTAAAAAACGAGCATGCAGACGCTGACCAGTATGTCATGAAGATGCGTCAGCTTCTTTTAGTCTCGCACTAGAGGAGGCTGTATTGCAGCGTCACAATCTGCCATACTTTGAAAAATTCACATTTTTGCCTCCCATACGTCCACCAAGGTGAAGAACGCAAGAAGCCTAAACAAGAAAAAAAAGCAGAAGCACCGAAGACTCTTGTGCATGATTGGCTGTGTCAGAAGTGATACTTACATGATGATATAAACTTGCACCTGGTTCTTTGGCAGAACGATAACTACAGACATCTACACCTGTCGAGAGGGGGGAGCAGAGCCATCGACCACGAACGCATTAGGTCGTTCTGCGGATAGATACATACTGCAGTTACTTCTTCCGCATAGCCCCGCAGTTGGGTACATCATCATCATGATGCTTTATTGGGTCTGTCGTCGGGAGTTAGCATTTTTTGTTGGATAAAACTGCGCACCATCCACGTGACGCAGAAGGAAATGACGGAGCGGATCTCCCGGCCGCAGAGTCGATATCAAAAAAAAAATGTCTGGGTCTGGACACTTGTGATGCTGGGTGGCGTCTCATGATGAGGCTACAAATGCTGGCTCAGCAAGACAAGTTTCTGAGCTCCTAGGTGTTGCCTATTCTGCATGACAAACTGCGCTTCTGCATCACAGAAAAGCGGAGCTCTTGGGTAACGTGCGTGACAGATTCAAGAGTCATGCCAGACAAGCATGACAGACGTGAATTCTTCCAGACCCAGACATTTTTGCACTTGATAGTCGAGATATGGTGTCGATCAGGGTCGGGTCCCGGGACCGATTGTATCGCCATTTCAACAGTAGCCGCAGATCGCTGAACAGCACCATCGAGTAACGGGACCATGTGCCGCTGGAAAATCCGATATTTTAGTTTTTTCTCTTCAGTACGACATCATGTCATTGTTTTCAAGTAAAGAACTACATTGATAGAAATTTCGCAAGTGGTGCAACTACTTGAAAGGTTGACCATCATTTTCCAATCGAGTTTTTTTTGTCCTTTTCGGCCAGCATTGTCATTTTATCGAAAACAAGTCAGGTTTCCTTCCTGTGAAGACTAAGGCGGGAGGGAAGAAGAAAAAAGTTTGTTATTGTTTCACAAATTGATGATATCTCGATTTTTTTGTCTTTTTCAGATGTAAAAGACACCTGTAAAATTACTATTGTGCTTGTTGCATACGACAACTTCGATTTGGTGATATTGGTGAGGAAGAGGACTACTATTGAATGAACACGACAAATTTTTTAGAAAATCTGTTTTTTTTCGTAGTGTGCTTCGTTGTGATCAAAGCATTAGCATGATCGCCTCGTTGCACTAAAAATGTTTTTCATTTTCCTAGCCGCCCCCGGGCCATTTCGAGAAGTGATAGATTTCTGGCGGCTTTTCGCATGGAGTCTGAACCTGACGCTAAGCAGGCAGACAGGGGCCAGCTCCGGGTCTCGCTAAGAAGGCGACGTGTGAGAAGTCGGTGCATAGCTTTTTAGAGAAGCCTATGGCTAAGACATTGTCATGAACACAGAGAGCGTTTCAGTAGAGGAAAACACCGACTATAATACCAAACTGTACGATGAGATTGAACAACCGCGGAGTTCCTTCAATATAATTGCTGCTAGATGCATCTTCAGAAGTCGTCAGATTGCAGGCCGTTTTGCAGTTGTAAGCGTGTACTGGCGAGCAGGATTGTTTTGACATATATGAAACTTGATGGAGCTCCTGCAGCGGCAGCAGCGTTCGTTCGCCGACCGGCAGTTTCTGCTGCGTCGGCCAAAGGATGAGAGAAAATACGTTTATTAGCACGACTTCGGTCTTCGTCTGACTTCCTGTATGCACTTCCTCGTTCACGGGGAAGTCGTTCTACCGGCAGGATTAATGTTGAAGGCAACCAGCAATGATAAAGTACTCCAACTATGATGTGGTGTATATATTCGTACAGAGAGGCAAGGCCGCGCTTCGTGCTCGTGGTCTAGCCTACTTTGTCATTCGGTGTGAGGTCTTGATAAGTAGTATCTTTGTCGGTTTTGTTTTCTAGATAGCTAGTACTACGCAATAAGAGTCGGTCTCGACAGCGTTGTGTACAAAAATGCTTCGGTTTGCGCGTGGTCGTCATGATCGTCTCATTGATTTTATCAGTTTGATGTCGAAGCCGAAAAAAGTTGAAGTCCTCAGAAGAGAATTACGTCAATTTTTTTTCCCCACCCGAACAGTTGAATCTCGTGAAGGAATTTTCTGTTTGAGTAGTAGCGCACCCACTACTTATTCATTCTGAGGTTTCAACATGGAGTAGTCGTTTTAACTTTACCAAATGAAAACCACAAAGTATGTTTTGACAATTAAGTTTGGCCCCAACGATATTTATTTGCTGACATGTATTTCTTGATGAGGTCAGGAATCTGACTGACGACCTGCTCAACGTCAAGATTTGCATTTTTTTGACGTATCTTGCTATGCTTACCATATTGATTCAAATTCATCCCGATAAGGAACAGGCATTCATGGACAAAACTCGCGCAGGCAGCAGCGCAGTCACCGACACGCTGCCATCGAAGTGACGGGAAAGGGATAAGAAGAGGCAAAGCGACAACTGCTTGCCACGTCGAAGATGGTACCTGCTAGCTGTCCGCAAGCAAACACCATGACGGCCCACAGGCGGGGCATACCGAACTACACTTCTGCATCCGTGGGTGTGATGTTTCCGGTATTGACGTTCTTGTGTTGAGTTTGTTTGAGTGCAAAAGCAAAACTAAGACACCAGCACAGGCTGCTTACAAGCTCCTGATTTGGAAGCATGCTCGCACACTTTTTTTGAATTAGTGCTACTTCCAGCATGGCACTTGAAAATGAATCCCAAATTGAGTAATTAAGAATGCAAACTCGAAAAACGTATAAATTAATAAGCGAAATACTGGAGAATTATTGGCATTACCTGATAATACGTTGTAACCCTAACCTCTTCAAGTTTGAATTGCTTAATTCCTTCTTACCACATTGTTCATAGGTGGAACAAACTTCACACTCGGCGACGTCACTCCCGCATCCGGGGCCGTGCGACATTCCCGAGCCACGGTGCGACGCTGGTCCGCCCGCAACACAGCCTGGACCGAGCAAGGTCCATTTCGTGCCGACGGGCAACGATGGGATGCGTGCCCCCAAGCGGGTCTCCAACCGCAAGCAAGTGATAGCGCAACGCCCCTCCAAGAGGCTGCAGTTTCAATGAATTGCGCTATTCGTGCCAGTGTAGTTGCCGTCGGAGCCGGAAAACCACACTGGGTGCCGGCGCGGCCGCCGCCGGGGTGCAGACCCTTGGCTTCGCATCCGTTTTGATCAATGGAGGGCAGGCTGTACGCACCTCGCAGAAGCAGAACCTGCTCAAGCAGAAAACCGCACGCTTGCAGGAAAAAGAGTCTCGTGACGTCGCGCGAGCAGGCGAAGGTGTTGGTGGGGCCCCTGCAGGTCCGGAACATGCGATTGATCCAAAGGAGGAGTTCGCGATTATGAATCCGAATGTGGATAAGTGTCGGTGCCGCACAAAAAATGTCTAGGTGGTATTGGTATAACCTTCTCGTCTGCATGCAGCCAAGGTTATGATCAAGTACTTAGATGTTTGCATATAGTAGTCCATATCAACTCAAAAGTTGTTTCATGTGTAAGCACTTACAGACGACGTGACGCGGATTTGGGACTCAGCTCGCTTTGTTCCACATTGCAGTCATCCGAAACCGGCACATGCGGCAGAAAACTGTCACGTATAGAAGCACAGCGAATGCGAAAATATGATGTACGACGTCGCCAAGTAGACAACTGTTCACGTGCCAAGAGCGTGTCAAACCGACTGAACCTTTTTCGTTTGCACATCTTTGGAGAAGCAGGAACCTGACGCGATTGCTGGTGTGCCAGATGTGGGTGATGGGTCTCCGAAAATTAGCGGATTTTTATCGAAGTGAAAAGTTGTGCGCTCCCCCCCACACATCATCATGTTTCGATTTCTACTGTCGTGTGATATTTCCCACGTTGGTTGATGCAAGGGAGTTGTCTTGCTAGTATGCTTGTCGGGTTGGACTTACTCAATATCGGCGCATCATCTGCGCAGCGCTTGTTCCCAAAGGAATCCGTTGCATACTGGAGCGCTGCCATTTTCGGATTGTAACGCATGTTCGGTAAAAGCAAAAGGACATACAGTGCCAGTGCGTGATGTTGCTAGCGCTTGCAAAACGCAACAGCTCCACCATCGGAAACAGCATCCTGGCACGGACAACATGCGTTTTTTGGGTGCGGGAGAACTCTTTTCAACGTGATAATGCCTGGCCAAGACGACTACATATGCAGATGCTCACGGAGAAGGACAATGCACTGGTGACACATGGTCGGAGTTCCAACAAGGCGTCTGCGACCGAGTATCTAAGGCGACGATTGTCCCGGCTGCTCATCGCTCTCCACCACACGCGCACTGATCAATATTCTTCAGTTTGACCACCGCAACATATTCTTCAGTTTGACCACCGCAGCATTTAGGGCCTTGAACATTTGATGCCGTGCCCGGGCACGGAAAGAAAGAAAGATTTATCAGGTAGAGGCGGGACGAAGCGTTAGATTGATAAAACAAATTTTTGTTGTACGAGTGCCCGTGATCCCGAAATATAAGTATACAGATCCTCTAACGAAAACGAACAATCAAACAAAAATATACGCCAAAGACAAGTTGGATACCACAAGGAGTGCGGTGGCGATTGAAGCCGAGCTGGGGCAAACTTTCATTCGACAAAAAATCGAGACTGCTATTTTCGTAGCGAGCACAGAACTAGATGCAGATGCAAAAGGAAAGCGTGCAAACGCTGAGTCGAAGGCAAACGCAGGGAAAATCGCAGCCGCCATTGACGAATCCAGGTTGACTATGCACAATGAAGCACCATGCTTCCCCATATTTCGGAGCCTTTGGTGCGTCGGGGAAGTCATTTTTCACCGTTGGGAGTATAACAACATAAGAACATAAGCCTAGCCGCACTGGCGGCAAGCCTCACGTGCACCATCAGAAGTGCAGTATGGGCCGTTCTTTGCGGTATCTCACCATCAGAAATGCGAGCTGCGAAGGGCGGGGCGCGCCACCTAAAGCGCTAAAACGTAGCTCGACGCTCTATAGATATATCCGATGTGTAATTTTATGCTTCGTTGCGTCATTTCGTATGACTGTGATATCGATGATCGCAATTTCTGTTTCATTCAGTGGTATGTGCTAGCATACATACTGACGCACGTAGGAAAGTGAAGACGATCACGCGGAAAAGAAAAAAGGTGGTGGTTATGCTTAAGGGCTTAGAAGTGACGGCTTCGTTAAATGGGACTGTGTTTCATTGTGAATGGTGGCGACGTTGCTCCTACTACGAACAGCTGCCACGAGACCTCGCTCGGGAAAAAAAGCAAGCGGCTCGCACAGCTTGCGTCTGCGGATGAAACGGCGGAAAAATTCAACTTTTTGACTCGGCAATTTCGGGACGCAGACTTCGCTGCTGCTTCTATGGCGTGTGAAATGCTCAAGCGCAAGTTATCAAGCGCAAATGTCTTCGGGTGTGGTAGCAAGTTGCAGAATTTTGGTAGGAGAGTCCGAATCATGTTGTAGTGAGTAAGTACTTGCATAGACGCAATCAAAGCGCGCATAGCGTTCCTGTACGCAGGCAAGTGCGGATGCGCCGCATTTTGCATGATTACGCGGCAGACCAGGACGCTTTGATTTTGTGCGACATGGAGAGAAGGAGCCTTTGTAGACCCATGTAGTGAAATACAGACCGAGCAGTCCATACGGGATGAAGTTGCGCACTTTTCCAGACCCGAATAGATTTGTTAGTCAGATCTTGTTGAGCAAACTCCAGCAGAAGACGGGTGCGCAAGCAGACTCCAGCAGGTGCCCATGCAGATCCAAGGAGGTGCGCAGCAGAAGACGGCTAGAACGATAGCGGAACAATTTTGCGCAGACAATCAGGAGTTCCATGTCAAGCAGCGCCTATGGTCATTAAGAGAAAACGCAGCGAGCACCACCGAAAAAAACAACGTGCGCAAGCTCGTCGTGCGGAAGTATGCGCAAAAGTTTGTGCAGCAGCATTCATGGTCGAATCAAGAGTTCTTGAAAAAGCTCATCCCTGCCACGGTCCGGGGTGCCGACGAGGTGGCAGAGGTTCTGCGCACGGAAGCTGAAAATTTGGCCAGTGAGGAAAGGGGGTTGTCTAATGCCGTTTATGGGGAGTTCAGCGTAATCTCCGCAGCGTCGGAGGATCTACTGAAAGAGGCGGCCCAGGAGTTGATTAACTGGGTTGTTAAAGACGGGAAGGACTTTTTTCAGTGGGGGTGGCCACTCGAAAATTGCTCAGAGTCTTGTCGCGGCAAGCCAGTGCGAAGCCGAGTTGTACATTCTGTCGTGGAGTGTGCGGTGGATGTTCTGAACGGCGACGAACGGGAAGCCGCCACATGGGTTACGAAAGTGGGAAAAGCAGCTTCTGCCCCCCAAGCAGAAGGGGACGCCGGAACGAACGGAAACGAAATGCTGGCGGTACTTCTGGAGATCGCGCTGAGCAGCCGGAAATGGAGGGATCCGGCGGAGCAGGCGGACGGTGCTTCTGCGGTAGATCTTGTATCTGGAAAGACTGGAGCGAAGCTACGGAAAATTGCTCAGGAGCTTGTGCAAAAACAACAGGACAAAGACGAGGAACAGGGGGTGGCGGCTTGGAAGAAGGCTGTGGCTGACGTGTTGACGAGGGAGCAGTTGGAATTGAACCGCTCGCAGGAGGACGGAGCATCCGTGGGGCCTCAGCCAGGGCATCATCCAGACTCTCATGCACGTTCGGGTCCTAATGAGGGGAATCCACAGCCTGCTTCGACGGGAAAACCCAGTGACGGGGAACAGCAAAGCGATGAAGTGCAGAAAGCCAAAGCGCTCGTGCGAAGGCTTGCGGCACGGCCACGCGGAAGTGTAAAACGCGATTGGGAGCTGAGAATCGTACCCGCTTTGGCCCGGAAAAGCACTGAAAGAGAAGTAGCCCAGGTACTATCCGACAGCGTCTTGTTTGGGTCAGACCTTTGGACCAGCGACTGGAACCAGGCCGCCAAGGAATTGATCGCGTGGGACGAACAAGGCTATGAGTGGGCGGACTGGCCGGCGGGAAAGCCTGAGTCGGCCAGCGTTGAAGAGTTGACGGAAGAAAAAGTGAAGCGTCTTGTTCAACTCGTCGTGGCTGAAAACCCAGACAAATGGACGGAAAAAATGAAAGGTGCAGCTCCCACAGAAGTAAAAGACGAGCGCGCGAAAGCGTTGCTGGTGGTACTGCTGGAGGCCGCGCTCGACGAGGCGTTCGACAACGTTGGCAGTGAGCTTTTCGTGCCCGCAACCTTTGTCTCCAGGAAGAACCGGCCTAAACTGGAGGAGATTGCGCAGAAGCTTGCTGGTGATCCGGAGATATGGAAAAATTGGATTGCAGAAGAAATGACCCGCAAGAGCCTGATGAAGAAAGCCGCCTCCAAAATTTTTGTTGCTCTAGGTGGTTCTGACGGGTTCAAGATCTCAGCCACAGGGCCTGAGATTACCGGCGCAGAATTACCAGACGGGCTTCAAGATCCAATTGCTCGGCTCGACGAGTCTGTCCAGTTTCGCAATCCGGATTCATTTGCTACTTCGTTGAAAAAAATTGTAGGTGTAGCCATGATGCCTGGGTTTGAAGAGAAATGCCAGTTGAGCCGGAGAGAAAAAGATGTCGCAGGCACAGTGTTCGCCGTGGACCCTCTACGAACACGGATATTTGCCCAGGAAATTATCGATTGGTGCCAGGGGGAACGGAAGACGGGTGCGGGTCTGGCTCGGAATCAGGGAGATCATTCGTGGAAGAGTTGGAGGCATTGGGCCTCGGAAGAGCAGAAGGATGTTCTACATGCCAAAGAACTTGTGAAGCAAAAAATCACTCGGGTGGACGGGGCGGGACACGACGCAGGGGCACGCAGGTGGGAGGGGAAACTTCTCTCCGCGTTGGCCTTGGAAAGCCGTGAAAAAGTAGCAGAAGCACTGCAGGATGTCGAGGAGGATCCTGTCGCCGGCGCATCGGAGCAGCCGCACAACTGGGACAAAGCCGCCGAGGACTTGATCGAGTGGGACAAAGATGGCAAGGACTTGGCAGATTGGGCGGACGGGCGGCACGATCCTCAGGAGTCGGATTCTCCTGAACACCAAGAACAGTCGGCCCCCTTGAGCCCGGAGACTATGAAGCAACGCGTAAAACATCTTGTCCAAACAGCCATGTCGGGAGAGGGCCAGCTCAAGCAGACATGGACGAAACGCATGGATGAAGCTTCGGACGCACTGAAGGCGGTGCGGGACCACGGCAACGCCCGTGGCGAAAAGGGGCCCGCGGCTGAAGCAGAGGAACTATCCAAGAAAAAGGTGATGGAGGTTCTGCTCGACGCCGCGGTCGAACAAAATATTGAGAAGAAAAATGATGAATTTATTCAAGTGAAAAATGTATAAGCTCTTACTTCCCCAATTTCCAGCATGCTCAATAAAACAAAGCAGTTGGCGACATTTATTTGTGTACACACAGGCCAAAAGAAGGAACAGCATGCGGATTGTACTAGTTTCTTTGCTGCCCGGCGTATAATCGGCCGCAAGCTCGACTGAATGAGACATTTTTGATTGGTGCCATGCGATAGAGGCGCGCCCTGCGTATCAACGCTGGCTCTCCACGTAGGATCTCCTATGGCCACGAGCTGTGGCCGAGTGTGGGGAGAGGGTATTTTATTCATTTTTTCTCAGGATAATCCTTGCGGATCTCCTCTTCAGGCGGAACCGAGCAGTACTGGAGCAAGTTGCGGCTGAGCTTTGCTACAACCCCGGAGAGTGGAAAAAATGGATCGACGAGATGCAGAAGGAGTTGGCCGAGAGTTATCCAAGCCGATTAAAAAGCCCACCGCCCTCCCATACCCATTTTCGAAAGGAGATCTGTGACGCATTACTTGTTCCTCAAATCATTCCACTCACGTATGTGACAGTGTCCTTAGAAGTTCTTCGGCGTGGCAGACGTCTTTGCTGTCGGGCAGAGCGCACCTCGACTGGCAGGGGCTTTCACCCCCTGTAACTAATTTATGGGCAGTACTTTTGCGTGGGCTTGCATGATCAATATTGAGCAACTCAAGAATCGTCACAAACCTTTCGTTGGGTCGTAATGAGTGCTGGGCGTTTTCATCGTGATACGCACAAGGCGAAATACTCGCTCATGAAGAACTTTGGCGCAGATATGCTGTCTGCCTTGAAAAATTCGGAATCCCAGCAAAGCATGAGAGAGGCGCTAACTAAAGCGGTAGAGGACCGGAACCCCAACAACAATGTGCAGCAGGTGTCTTACGTGTTGAATCTCGTAGCAATCAGCGCGTGGTCTCGAGGCGAATCGACCCGCAATGCTCCCTGGAGAAAATTCGTAGAAGACACACTGAGCAAAAACGAGGCTGCACGGGATAAATTGGCCACGGAAATAATCGCATGGTGTCAAGAGTCTGAAGGGAGAACTTGGGAACAATGGGCTGAGGAGGTGCGGGTGGAGCATGTGTTAGAAGATGAGTTGGGTGATGTGCCGGAGGAGGGGCCCATCTCGGAGATGCCGCCTAGCATTGGGCAGTCGGGGATGAAGGAGGCGGCAGGTCGTGCTGGCGGTGCACGTATTCCAGTGACGGGGACTGCTGACAGCACGACTCAGCAGTCATGGGATGATTATGGCTTCAACGAACTGCAAAAGGATGTTGACGTGGTCGTTGCAAAAACGCGGGAAGACCTTGCAAAAGCGCAACAACAATTGAGTAATGCTTTAACTGCAGCGACTTCGTGGTGGACGTCGCCGAAAGCAGAGGAGCAGGAGGTTACAGGTGAAAGCTGGCCGCAAACTGCAGAGAGTACTATCGTCTCACTGTAAACGCGATTCGAGCTCCTTCGGGATGCGCGTCAGCGTTTGCGTGAGCATTGCATCAGCGTGGTTTCAAACGTAGCTTGTGTACCGTTAATCTTTCAGTATCTGTGTCGTACAATTTCTCTGAAGTTCACTTTGTCTACCTGTACCGCCGCCAGTTCTTTTGCAAGTGATACCATAGCACTGTGATTTCAATTTTCTCGCAATTCGAAGTCGAATGTCAGTCGCTATTTCATGGTTGCGGTACTAGGAGCGCAAGCATTCTTCCAGGGACGTATTTTTTACATTTTGTCAAGTTCATTAGTTTTTGTTATGCGAAGGAGCCATGGAGTTGGAAGCTTTTCTGTAGTATAGTTTTCTCTTGAGCATACAGCTGAAGTTTTTATCACGACTAGGGAAAGGAAGTCGGTGTTTTGTGGTTCGAAGAAGGTAGATTTATTTGCTCGTTTTTTTTTTTTCTCTGAAGGTAGGTTTTCGCCATTGTGCACAAACTTGAAACCGACACCCACACTATTAACGAACACCTGAGCATGGTTTTTTTTTTATTTGGAATTCAAAGTATCGAAATAAGAATAAGGAAGGCAATGGCAAGTAATGAGTGATGTTTAAGAAATAAGGCCTGTCATGTGAAAACTTTACCTGCTTTCAGGGCAAAGGGGTCGACTTCTTTGAGGGTTTGTATCTATTCATTGATTCATCTTTGATGGGAAAGACGGTCTCTTTTTACGTCAGCGAAGGCGCGAGCCTTGGTATCATCCTCCGAAGACAAGACGCTGCGAGCATGAAGAGCGGAGGGTTGCATGATCTCTGCACTATCGAGGCCGTGCAGCAAAAAAAATGTTGTTTATTACGCGTATCACTTTTTTGAAAGATTTCTCAATTTTGTATGCTATGTCGTCGCCAAGCTGTAGCTATGGAAAGGGTCAGGCTTTCGAAATGAAGCTAAGTACAGGAGTATTTGCTGCCGTGGGCGTCAAATCAGATTTGGACGATTGAAAGTTTGCTGCTTGAACCAATTCAAACGCTGCGTGATTGTAAACCGCGGGATAATTTCAAATTATACGCGAAAATTATTAGGGGTTTCCGACGAACAAACAGCTTCAATCATATGTACAAAGCAGCTGGCACGACGTAATGAAAGCACCGATGGTAAGTAACAACTTTTGCTTCAATGCGCCGCGGGAAAATCAATTTTCTCGCCGCAGGTTCTGTATTCGCACCACCGCATTGTATGTTCTCACGAGCCTGCAGCTACGCTTCGCGCGCAAAGTGTTCTGTGTCTGATCTGCTTTTGCACTTAGTCCTTTTTTCAATTCGTTTATTCGCATTTTTGGCCCACGACTGCATATCTCTGCGTATTTTCCGGAACAAAAAAGATTCAAATCTTGATTTTTTCAGTCCGTGGCAACGTGAAGTTATCTTTTTTCACCAGATGGAGAACTGATATAATTTACAGGCACTTACAAGCTGGCTGGAAGCAGTATTTCCGGAGTAAAGTTCCGTATACTTATTTTTTCACCACACTAAATTTGGTTGTTGAAAAGTCCACATTCGACGAACGCGAAAGAAGTCACTACTAAGTCCTCTCTCAGATAATGACGAAAAATGGCATTGGCAGCTCGTTGTCCCAAGCCCACAATTTCGCAGTACTTTGGGTCTCATTTTCCTGACACGAAGGATCTAGCGCAACGAAGAATCAGGACGGGACAGAAGCAGCCACATCCAGGTAGTGAAGGCAGCGCGCGGTCTGCAACCAACACGGCGACAGAGCGAAACCGGATCGACTATAGGGGTGAGCCCAGCGAAGCCGAAAGCGACTGCGGGCGCGAAGAAGATATAAGAATACGTGCTACGAGTCTTGAGAAATAAGCGGTGAATAAATGGCGACCACCTCGAGCAGCTCCTCGGCTCCGCCACCGCACCTGCGGGCCACCAAGCCGCTCGTCTTCCAATGTATGAGCCAGTTTTACGTTCTGTCGCCGCGGGGAGACACCATTTTGACCCGGGATTTCCGCGGGGACGTGGTCAAGGGCACAGCTGAGATGTTTTTCCGCAAGGTGACTTTGTTCCAGCACGGGGAGGACTGTCCCCCGGTCTTTCACCAGCACGGGATCAACTACTATCCCACAGAAAAAAGCAGGCAGGGCATATTTGTAATGCAAAAATAGACACAGACTTCTAGACTTAAACCACTAAATGTAATTTTTCTGCTATTTTTTTTTGCATTACGAATATGCATGCCTGCTTTTTTCTGTGCGATAACTACTATTTTCTGAAGAAAAACGGATTGATATCACATTGAAAAACAAAAAAATGCAAGTCTGAGAAGGGAAGACAAAGCGTGGCACAGTGTTTTATCTACTTGCATGAAATAAGTACATTGAACTGAAAATTGATGAATGCCGGTGTAGCTATCGTACCGGCGCTAGCACGGCTGACGTACCACAAATGTCCCTATTGGTTTTTCGTGATGTTTGTAGAAAAAGGTCGTAAATACAGCGCCTCTCTGCTTTTGCTGTCGGAGATTGAGCAATTATAGAACACTTCATGTATGTAGTTCTTCGAGGAACGAACGCATTCTTCCGGCGGTGCTTGTTTTCCATATGATAACTTTACTTCGTCGCAACCACGTCATTTAACACCAATAGTAACGCCACATTGTTGTATCCTGAGTAAAAACGTCCCCACACCAGAGTCAAGATGGGAAATCTGCTAGACAAATCAACCAGCTTTCGCTGTTTCGCATGACAGGTTTGCCCTCCTAGAATAATCCTGTTTCGCTAGTTCAGCAGCATCACAGATCTAGCACATCATGCTGATTCTAGCATCACAAACTCAAAAACACGACTAGAAAATGCTTCTCATGGGGCTCCGCATGAGAAACTTTTTTGGCATGCAGATTTGCATGACAACTCTGGGGTTTTTTTGGCTCAAGGCTTTGCCTTGTTGCCTGAGATCCAACAAATCTAGAATAGGGGGAGCTATGCCGTAGAGTAGATACGATAACTCACAATCATTTACCACCACTGACACCACGTCGGTATCTCCCCCGACTCCCTGAAGAGGAGTTTCGAAAGAAGTAGATAAACACCCGAGCGTGGCGGGTCCGCTGTGCCCCCCTTTACAGTAGCCTACTAGATCTCCGGCCCCCCTTTACACTAGCCGAGATCTCAGAACCAGCGCCCCGTGCTGCCGAGTACCCCTCCTAAAAATGACCTCCTCCCCGCCCGGACACGGCGCCTGAATCCTGCAGCAGTCGTCCACGCACCATCCTGCGCAGGAGCAAGGTCCTCGCTTAGCCTGACGGGCATGGGCAGCAACTTCTCCATGTTCGCGGCAGAACCGGAATACGAAATCAGACCGGGGCAGGAGTTCTGGAAAGGGTAAAGTCCACCATGCCGCCGGTGGATTAAGCAGCTCGGGTAGGCTTCGGCAAACGGACACCAGGTCGAGGCTTCGCGAGCGTGGATGCCCCCCAGCTCGCCCAAGCCAGTAGCAACAAGCTCAATCGAGCCTTGTTCCCCAGCACAATAGATGCGATGTAGGGGCGCACAATAGATGCGAGCTCAAGGCTTGGCAGCGCTGGGGGAGATGGTGTTGCCCACGACGCGGGAATATTCCCGCCGTGGAATCGAGAATGAACCTGGCGCCGACGTTTTGCGCTTCTGTGTTGCGCCCGCATGGGCAGCGGTCCGCGTGCAGAAACGTGCTCTACTTGAGCAGCCTCGCCAATCGTGTATCTGTACCCCGCACTTTCGGTCATGTGTAAAGCAATCGCCGATCATGATCGCCAAATCCGGCGGTCAGGTGGATCAGCATTAAATCTCGCACCTCTTACCTTTAATTTGGATGTTTAAACATCACTTTAGGCTGGCGCTTGTCGCTTAGTGCCTCCAGTGAATGCATTCGTCCAGACAGTAACAACTGGTTTGCCGCAGGCTGCAGCTTTCTCTTGTAGTTGTGGGGCTGGCTGTACATCCCCGTTATAGTGGTTGCGAGTTGGAAGTTTGCGAGAATCAGTAATTTTGTTTTTTTTGTTGTTTATCTCCGCTTGCTCACGCCGCGACGTGATAAGTGCTGCAGGATGTCGTAAAAAAGAAAAGTTGATGCACGGGGAACGGGGCGCCCATTTCAAAATTAGCGCGCATGACTCTTGTCGACGCTGACGAGGAGTTGGTTCTCGAGGACCCACTAGCTGAAGACGACGACTTCCACGACCCGCACCTGCAGGAGGAGGAAGTCCGGTATTACGAAATCCCCGACGAGGATGCAGAGGCACAAGAATATGGGCGGTGCGAGAAAGCCATTATCTGGAATTCTTTTGACTACAACCGGTCGAAACTCGCCCAGCAGCTGCAGGAAGCGGAGAAGGCCACCGCGGAGCTCTTTTGCGAAACGAAAATCCCAGCCGGGGTCCCACAAGGAGACCGGGCGCAGTTTCGCGATGACCAGCTACGGGCGGTGGTAAACGAAACTACCAACAGCAGCATGACAAACTGCAAAAGTGGCCACGTTGCCCACTTTGAACATTTCGCCCACCCCGATCTTCTTCCGGAGCTTGGTGACCACAATTCCGGTAGTTGGGTACTATCCAAGGTGAACCCGGAGGAGCAAGGCGACCAGCTGGTATCGTGGTTTTCCGACGACCCGGAGGACTTTCTTCTGTTTCTGACCGGAACGATCATCGCCGGCACGCTGAAGATTATGCTGTACGCACCCCCACGATCGAAGCCCCTTTCCGCATCGGAGAAGGTTTCGCTCGATAGGCAGATGCAGAATATGCTCACCAAGCTCACGGGCATGACAAATTCCACGGCCCGCGGGTACGTGTGTGGAGACTGGAACTCGGACTTTGAGTCGTGGGAAAACCACTCGGCCGACGTTCGGGACCATGTCCTGGTGCCGCTGTTGAACTGGGTCAAGCTGCACTACGAGTTTCAGGACGTTGGGGGCAAGACGTGCTTTCACAAGACGGAGGGCAGTACGATCGACCACATTGCGACGCGAGGCTTCAACCAGGTGCATGTTGCGCGCGCGTTGATTTACCGCAACCCGGCCGACGCCACTGAGGGGCAAAGCGAGATTTTGGATGGCTCGGAGACCGCGGAGTACGTCCGCATGTACAATTGCGACCATGTTGCGCTGGTCTTCTCCGGTTTTTACGATGAGGAGCCCAGCACGCAAGAAAATAGCTTGCCGACTGCGCACAACCCCGACCCGACCGGAGACCCGGCAGCCGTGATAAACAGCACTATCACGCAGGAAAATATTTATGCGTCATACGAAAAGCACCAGATGCCGTACACATATGGCGCGGCACTTACAGCCCCCATTTCTGCCGTGCGGAGTCTCGCAGACGCACTTCCCTCGGGCATCAAGACGCGATGTTTGATGCGACGCGACGACCCGGCTTGTACCTCGGCCGCCTTGGCTGCTGCCCAGGTAGACTACGCGCAGACAACACCACCACCCACGGACTGCCCATTCGCTTTTGAGACTTGGTCTGCAGAGGCAGCCACCGCAGCGAATCTTGCAAAAACGGCGCAGCAAGTATCGCGCAAACCTCCGAAACAGGGCGGCACCCAAAACCAGCCGAGACCACCGCCGGAAGAAAAGCCGCCAGCGGAGCAGGGTCCGGCCAACAATGGCAACGCCGCGTACCTATCCCGCGCCGATGTCTCGGGCAAGATCCAGAGGTTCATTAGCTGGGTGCGAGATGCCGGCGGCGCCATCCTCCCAGCTGAAGCTACGCCGGGGCGTAGTGTGTTTATGGATGGCTTATTCGAGATGCAAGCGGCTGTTCGGACGAAGGTGACCGGGGTGAAAAAAGGCGCACCGCTTCCGCAGATCGATTCCGTAAAATCCGGCGCCCGTGTGATCTCAGGAGCACAAGCAGTCGCGGTCGAAGTTGGGAAATCGCATATCTTGAAATCATCAATAATGCGAAAGGACTGCGGACTCCCCACGCAGATGCCCCAGGAGAACTGGATCCGACTGAAAGAAGAACTTGCAAGCGCCGCCCGAAAGTGCAAGCCGCTTCAGATTTCCACCCCGGAGGTTGAAGACTTGATGGCGAACGCAAATTCTCAAGCGCAGGGAGTGTCGGGCGCCAGGACGAAGTTGTTGCAGTCCGCCCCGCGGGAACTAAAGAAAAACTTTACGACCGCGAGCAACAACCTGGTGCAGAAAGTGACTTCATCCGACCCACGGTTTCTCTCAACCTCCATACCGGAGCCAATGAGAACGCAGCAGATCGAGCTACTGGGAAAAGGGGGAAAGGTAGAAGAAATCCGCAAGGTCCGCTGCGTGACACGGACTGGGTACGCTTTGAAGACCATCAGCGGAGTTTTCGGCCGCCGGATAATGCAGGCTGCGGAGGATACGAACGTCATGGGAATTTACGGACACGGAGGAAGACCCACAGTGGCTCTGTGCATCTTGGTTCTCAAACTATTGGACTGCTTACTTAGCTTAGGCCCCGATGAGTTCTGGATCTACCTATCCACGGACTACTGCAACTACTACAATACCATCACCGGCGTCGCGATGTTGCAGTGCCTCCGGCAGACAAAATGCCACCCCGGCATCCTGCTTTGGTTTGCGGCCACCCTCAACAAACGGATAATCATCCGGAACGGACGAAAATACGCCTTAATTCCATCATTCTGGGAATGCATCCAGGGCAGCACCGAAGTCATGATTGCGGGATGCATTTTGTCCATGAGGTACATGAAGCTGCTGCACTGGTTCTTGGTGAGTTGTTACGATCCGGCAACGCGGAGGTTATGTCGAAGTAGAATCGAGACAGCAGCTGCAGCATTGCTGGCAGAAATGGACAAGGATACTACTTCGCCCTACTCTTGGGAGCCCTACACCCTAGAAAAGGATGTCCATCCGTGCCACCATATCCACCAACAGCCCCCCCGCCGAGTGAAGCAGACCAACATTTTCACAGCAGAAGCAGTCCCGCCAGCATCCGGGGGCCGGGTGCACCCGTACGAGAACAAACCGCCTGCCGTTCTGGGAAGTTGCGTGGACGACCGCGCGCAGGGGTTCCGGGCACACAAAGACGACGTCGACAACGGCAACATCCAGCTGATTATGGAAACCCTGACAAAATTCGAGGAGCGGAAATTTTCCAAAATGGGCGTGTACCTGGCGGGCAAAGACAAGTACGAAGCTATGCCGGGCAACCCGTTCCAGCAAAACAGCCCCAACGCCGAGGCCAATGCGGCGAAATTGCAACAGCTCCGCTCCACGATCGTGAAAGCGTTGAACCCGTGGGGGATCGTGCCCCAAATCAAGAGCTCCACGCTCTTCCTCGGCTGTCTCTTCGCAATCAACCAACTGCCGGAGGATGTTTTGTGGAAGCAGTTGGCAGGCAGACTTGGGGCCGCGCGATCCATGGTCGAGCAGGTGTACTCCGGCATGGTCTCGCTCTCGGGGACGATGCTCCGGTTGCTCGTGATTTGGGCCTACACCTCCTCCGTCGCTCACCTGCTGCCCCTTGCTGTGAAGCTTTGGTCGACGGAAAAATGGAAGAAGTACTTGCACCAAGTCGCAACTTCCATCATGAATTTTCTCGGATTCAGCAACCAGCACATCGTGGACCTGCTGGCGCTGAATAAGCTTGACGCGGAGGCCCTGTACAAGCTGGCTTTTTCTACCGATCTCGTGAACGCGGTGGACCCCTGGCTACAGGCCACCAAGGCACTGCGGCAGGCGGCCGGGAAATGGACTGCACTTACCGGGCAAAGCGAGTTTCTGCCAGAAATTACGAGAAGGGTGCCCACGAACGGGCCCGCTGGATTTGTTGACGAGTCGGCCCGTACTTGGATCAACGCCACCAATCTGGCCGATAAAAGTCTCGAACTAACGATCCAGCACAACGCAGCAGGAGCGGGGTTTATCACTACCAGCCCCGCCGGGGTGTGCGACACGCTGACAACAGAACTGCAGCAGGTGTGCCCCTTCCCCCATGTTGCTCCCGGTGGCGTGGGCCCGCGATACATCCCAGGCGCGTATGTCATCACGGCATGCCGATCGACCAACAGCGCGATCGTGTTGAACACCGACTCAACATCCAGGATGGCGATCAAGTCCACGGACCATGTGGGAATACCCTGCCCACAAACCGCGGCGCGGTTCAGGTACTTGCAGACCGCTACCGAGGCGCTGCGGCGCATGTCCACCGCGGCGAGTATCTCGGGTTTCCGGCCCCACGTGATCGTCGAAGGCCTAGGAATCAACGACAAAGTCCGGGGCTCGGGTGTCTTCCGTGAGTTTTGGCTTGCGACGATGGAGTGGAAAGACAGGATCTGGCTGCATTCCGCGAAGCGGTTTGACTTGGACATCAACAAAACCAAGGGCATCGGGGCGCACAACACCCACGTGGCGACGACCTCGGTCCTGGAGTTGTCCGGCCGCGACCAGTATGCGGACTGGCCCCGGCGGAGCTTCAAGCTGCCTATTTGCCTGCAGGAGCTGACGCAAAAAATGCACAAGTACAAGCTGGCGAAAATTATCCGCACCAACATGGCAAAATTGGTACCACCAAAGCCACCGACAGGGACTGGGGCGGGCCCGCAGACCGAACCAACAGGGACGCTGGTGCCGCAACCTCCAATCCCCCCCCACACGCAGGAACCGGGCCTGCCGCCTGCAAGCAGCAATTCTGAAAAGGAAAATCCTACGGCGAGCAAGACTGTTGTGGCGACAGCAGCACCGGGGAGAAAAACTGCGGCAAAGACCACTGCTGCAACAACAGTACCGGCGAAGAAATATCCGGTAAAGACCACTGCTGCGGCAGCAGCATCGGGGAAGAGAACAGCAGCTGCAAAGTCCCCCCAGGTACGGAAGGCGAGGAAGACCGGCGCGACTGCTGCGTCCTCATCTCGACCGCCTCCTGCCACTCAGGACCCGGAGGACATGCCAGCGTTCGCGGAGACCCAGGATCCACATGGCGAGGAATGAAAAAGTCTATCTGTAAACCACTACTCACCTGCTCAGCCTTCTAGTATATGATAATACCAAAAAATTATGCAAATAGAATATCCGAATATGCAAACGAAAAGCCAACAAGTACGAACTAAGTTACAAGCTAAAGGTCCGAATGCCGTGCTGAGAAGTATATGAACTGCCAGCGTCATTATTATGCTAAGAGGAAATTAAAGTTGCGCAAGATGTATGTGATACTGTTGGAGCTAGACGGTTACTTGGTTCTCTTTCATGTACACAAAGTTGGTAGATACAGCAAAAAAGAAGAAAATGTAGAGGACCAGCTACGCTCTCTTGGTTAAAAGGCAGCAACCATGCAGAATCTCAAAATCAGCATTGTTGTAACAGAAGTAAAGTCGAGCAGGGAGTAGTAGTTGAGATAGAAAGAGTAGAAATTAGCGCTAGAGTGGCACCCAACGAGGACTGTGTGGTGTGACCGGTGCAGCGGGAGGAGATATCGAGAGGAAAATATATATCCCTCGAAGTGTCGTTGCGTTTCGTGTGTCGTTCTGCGTGTATCTCTAATCTCACACCCCCGACTACCTGCTACTATGCCACCGCAGCACGACGGACGTGACCAAGTAGACAGCCGGACTGGCGACAACGCGGATGCGACCATCCGAGGCACAGCACCCAGCTACCGGTGACGGAGTAGCAGCATACTCTCCTTGAAGTTAAGAACGGACACTACCACGGTAGCAGTTTGTCATGCGCACCAAACAAAAAGTAAAAGAAAAAACAAGCAAGAAGTTTTCTCCTTGGTCCTGTAATAAAGTTCGTCGCTCGTGTGTAGTTCTAATCTAGTTCGGCGCGCGTAAAATAGACATTTTAAATTTCGCCAGTGCTAATGACTAAGCCCACACTGTGTGCATGATCTCTGCGATGCCATCGCTTACCCATAGCGTCTAAAATAAATCTTATTTCGGCAACAAATGCCCGTCGAGAAATACTTCGCTCTCAGCACTTCCACTGCGTGTTCCTGCATTTGCAATACTTTAAGCATGACAAACTGCTACTAACGTGCGTCCGTCAGCTTTCCCACTGTATAAAAACACCTAGAACCGCACACCAGCAGCGATGCCAGGAATCCCCCGCCAGGCGGTGAACATACTATGGCGGCCCGGGCAAGCTGAACCTGCTCAGGAAGCACACGGCTCGTCGACCTGTCTTCGCCCCTTTTGCAACTTCTTCGACCAACCCGCGAAAGGGCACCGCGCCACCGGCTCTAGCCCACATCTGTAGTGGAAGCGGATATTCGGCGCAGAATGTCCAGTGCCGAAAAAGGCGGGGATTACACACAAACCAAACGGATAAAAATCAATTTGTCATGCAGATTCCATGTTGTATTTGATGTACTCATATACCCCGTCACGAGTATCGTATTGAATCTATTGGCGGGACTTTCTACTAGTATTTGTTAGTCTTCACTGACCTGTTGGTTATTGTATTCCCAGGTCTTCCGCTTGCGCTGCGGTGGAGCGTTAGTTTCCCCCGTTCTTAGCTGCCTGCCAGAACCACTGTGTCCTCTTCCCGCCCTTCCGGGGGCTTCGGTTCCGGGGGATTTCCGTTCCGGGTAACGTGCGTGCCATAAGCTTTCGGCTTCTCGGGGTTTCAGCACGGCTGGGTTTTTTTGATAAGTTCAAAACATGATAGCACTTAGGACGGTATGAGACCGCCACAGTTGTGAGTTTGCCCCGCCCGCGGGCATTTTCTACTAGGGATCAAGTGGACTTTCGGCAATCGCGCAACAAAATATATTTTGCTACAGGCCTCTCATAAGGTCGCCCTACTCCGCCCGGGTTATATCTCTTTTTCTTGTTGGTCTTCACCAACCTGCCTCTATTCCCGGGTCATCAGCTGGCGCTCCGGGGGAGCAATCGTCTCTGTTGCTGATCTTCCGTCCTGGGCTGCCTGGACTCTTGTCGCCCCTCCTCGCTTCCCCACCCCTCCTCGACTCACTTTCTTCCCCCGGCTGTACGCCTTCGTCAGGGTTAGTCCTAGTCGCTCTCCTCCGGTCGGTGCAAAAACACAGCTGCACTTCCGACGGTATACACCCGTCTCGGTTGCGGCCGGGTGTCGGGCCCGGGTTTGCGGTTCGGGTTTCGGTTCAGGGTTTCAGTTCTGGGCACGGGTCTCAGTTTCGAAGCATTCAGAACATGGAAGTCACATCATAGCACCATAAAAGCAATGCCGCCGAGCTGACTTGCCGGCGGTGTCCCCAGCATCTCGATAGCGTACAGTTTTAATATTGCATTTCTCCGTTCGGTTTTTCCATCCATAATACTCCGCCACGACCTGATCCTGACGACGTGGAGGTGACCACGAAGCAGCAGCTGCTTCACTTGCGACAAACTCACCGTGGTAGCAGGTGAATACGGAGATAAAGGAAAAAAGAACAGCTTCGGTCTGTTCCGCCCGAATCGCGCCTAGTGGCCAGAAAACCGGTGTACAGGGCACCAACACCGCCAAACCAGCTGCTGACCCTGTTTACGCCTTCGCAGAACAGGAATCCCCACCTGGCGCCGGTTTCCGTCGCTACCAGACCCCGCGGCGTATCGGGCCCACGCCGCCGCCCTGGGAACAGCCGGAATCTTACTTGCCTGGACCGGAGCCGGGCCGCGTTTCGGAGCTCGCCATGTTGTCCTTCTACCGGGCTGCGGTTTGGCAGCACATCTTCATCCAGATAGCGTGAAAGTGCGATGCTGTTGCGCCACTTTTTTTTTTATCCGGATCGGCCGGTGCGGTGTAGCGCATTTTCATCCAGATCACCGGTCGGACCGCACTACATAGCTGTACTTCGGCCTCGTGAAGCCCATCTTGCTTTTCTGCCGGGTCCCTTCGAGCCAGCTGGGCGAAACGTAGAAATCCAGTCTCAAGCCCGTCCTCCCCGCGCGCCGATCTGCAACTTCGACTTCAGCGTGAGCCGATGCCATGCAAGACATCCTCGACCGCGACGAAGGCACCTGCAGCTGCGGCAAAGCGGAGTTTTCTCTCCCGGATGGTCCCGAAGCTGCTGTACTACAAGATTCAAATTCCAATTTTGCATGACAAATTATTTAGAGTTTATTGGTTTTACTAGCGGCGCCCTGCTCGCTATCTGCGGTAGCTGCACGAAGCTGCCGGTGTAGTTTCCTAAAAAAGATCTTTCGCCCGCTGCTACCGGGTCAGTACTTAAAAAACCATTCAGGCGGCGCAGCTACTAAATAGCTTGCGGGTGTCACCTAGGCGTGACGCGGTGACTTGTTAGCTCTAGAAAGAGGAAAAAAGTTCGTTCAGCACTATCCGAAAACAAATTTTGCATGACAAATCCGGCCCTGCTAAGCCGCAGTAAGTTAGTATCCCCCCGCACTGCTATGCCCCCAACACATCCGTCCGGACGCTGCAAGATGGAAGAGATGTGGCGTGTGCCGCTGCTACCGGCTCGACACGTAAAGGAAAACGAATCCGCGCGCTCGGCGCGGTAGATACCCCCCCGCCGTTCGGGTTTTAGCAGCCATTGGCATCACAAATTGCGGTCTTCCGATCCTCGCCGAAGATTTTCGCTTATTCTTTTTGTGGCCGGTGCTTTCGTTTCGAGCTTGATCTCGAGTTCATCCATGTCGACCACCGATGTTGGCCCTTTGCATCATGCACGCACAAACGGGATTTTTGAAAACGGAGGGGGGGGGAAGGGACCCCCATTTGGTTGTCGCGGCGCGAAGCCGCAAATCTCGTGCTCACGTCCACCACCAGAAGTGTTCCAGCACGGGGCCGCTCCATGAATTGAATTGAACAGTAAGGAATTGTTGGCAAAAAAAAAAAAAAAGCGAGGCGTTGTTCAGTTGGCAAGTTGGCACAGTATGGTTGTTGGCGCAGTATGGTTGGTTGGCGAGATCAGAGTTGGGATATAGTGGCCGGGAGATGATGGTGATGGCACTTCGGTGTCCGCCTGACCCACCCGCCCTGCGTGCCAAGCCATCTGCGGCCATGGTACAATGGGGGGGCAAAGTGTGTCGCATTTTGTTTAGCATGACAACTCTGGGGTGGGTACGTTTTTCCTCAGGATATGTTGCTGGAGTTGCTCACGAAGATCTGCTATCAAATGCAAAAATGTCTGGGTCTGGATGAAGATTGCTAGGTTTGTCATGCAGTTTTTTCATGACCCACCCGGTCTGGCATGCACGGCCTAGCATGACAGGTTCTGTGAGATCTCTATCATGCCTTTCCTGCATGAGAAACTGCCTGTAAACTTGTTCAAAAGTGGGCCTTTTTTGGTAATCACGCAACACAAATTTTTCCACGATCCAGATGTAGCATGACAAGGTGCAATCTTCCAGACCCAGACATATTTGCAATGCATATCTGCAAGGTGTTCAAAGACTACTGCGGCACGCTGACCGAAGAGTCCATACGGAAGAACTTTGTGCTCCTCTACGAACTCCTCGACGAAATGCTGGACTTCGGGTACCCGCAGACTACTTCCACGGAGCAGCTGCGGCTCTGTGTCCACAACGAAGCCGCCGCGGTGCTGAACGAAAACACAGTCGCCAGTGGCCTGCAGATACGCACCAGGAAGAATGTTCTTGTCCACGGACGAGTTATACGCATACCATACTTACATGATTACAGACATAACAGGGAAACAACTACACCTGAGATAGTTCTTCATGCACAGGTCGTCCAGCTTCATCTCGAGACAACCCGCTAGGCATTGTGCGCTTTTTCAAAAGTGAGATCGGCATGCGAACAAGCTCTTTAGTGTTTTGATCCTCCGCGCCAAGGTGAATTGTTTGTAAAGATTGCCAGCAAATAAAGTCCATTTTTTCATGTACTAGAAGCACTGTTTGTTTCCGCTGTTTTACGTATGACTCTTCTGGGTCTGACCGAGTTTTTGCATTCGATAGTGGAGCGCCGGGACCGCAGTCAGCAATGCGCTGGGAGGTGCTTATTCTTCTTCAGAGTTTTAGTTCCACTCTTTGTTCTACAGACTGACTTTGAAAAAGGCACTTTCCGGAAGTTCAGCAGTAGCCTAGAAGGAACAGACACAAATTCTGCAGGTATATGCACGGAAATAAAAGCAATTACAAATTTCTCCTTTTGTCAGGTGGTGCGCTGAAAGGCGTAGCGGCGTTACCCAACCTGACTGCGCGAACTGTGCCGAGCAACGCGGTTCACCGGCCGGTCGGGCCTACACAAGACAAGATCGTCGCAAAAAACGAAATTTTCGTAGACATCCTCGAGCGCGTCACCGTGCTTATGATATCCAAATAGAACCAAACTGCATTACAACTGCCTCGAAGGTTTTTGCATTGGGCCAGTGGGCGTTGGAAAGAAAGGAGTAGTGCAAGAATGTGGCGCAAACAAGGCACCCGGCAGTTGCAATACAGCTTTTTCGTGTGATATTGCAACTCTAGCGGGTATCAAAGTGTATCTTTTCATACATAATTCTTACTTTGTTCTTCTATTCTAAGCCACCCGCTAGCAGAATGGAATCGCGGAACCTGTGCCCTCCGACGTGACACATTTTCTCTCGTGTTTTAGCTGCTGAAAACTGTAATTGATCATTCGCATGACGCGAAATAAGTATAAGAAAAAGTGCGACTCAGCGAGAAACAAAGGACTCGAAAGCACGCAAAAAACCGCAATAAAACTGATAGGCAAATTCTGAACGCGTGCGTGGACGGGTCAATTCAAATGAAGAGCTACCTCTCCGGAAATCCCGAACTGAAGCTCGCGCTCAACGAGGACCTGGTCATCGGCGCAGCCTCCGGCTATCAACAGGAAATCTGCAAGCTTCTTTTGATTCTAAGAGAGCAAAGACCAAAGTTCGTTTATTGGAGGTGCATGCAGCTCACGGGAGGAACACATCGGCATGCACCAGGAGCCATGCTGAAAACTGTGCCCCTTTCCCTTGGCGGCGTGATCCTGATGAGAAAGAAAACCATAAAGTAGGCGCGAGATGAGTCTGTTATGAAGCAGCTCTTCCGCAGTTAGTCCATCTCGAGTTACCTTCCGGCGTGGAACGCGCTGATTCTTATCCTCTTGAACTCTGGGAATCAGAAGCAGAATGCATTTCGCCATCGTGATACAGCAAATAATCGGTTTGCAAGTGTACAGCTCGACGACTGCAACTTTCACGAGTGCGTGGACCTCCGGGACTTTGACGACCAAAGTATTGCTCTCGCTACAACGTTGTCATGAGGAACATTTCTTCAGCAAAATACTTGTTTCAAATTTTCGATTTGAGTTCGATTGTGCAGAATGCTAATATAACCAAGCAGGTACTAGTGGTACACAAGAACTCTACTTTTCTACAACAGGAATTCTGTCGTTTTTCCCACCCGACGGGGAGTTTGCGGTGATGAATTACCGGATCACGAACGAGCTGAAGGTGCCCTTCCGGATTTTTCCCCGGGTCTCCTTCCCGCCCCAGCAGCAGGCGGACAAGGTGACCTCCTGCGAGCTGACGATCACGGCGCGAGCCGAGCTGCCCGACACCAACTACGGGGGCAACGTCGTGTTTCAGTGTCAGTTCCCGAAGAACCTCGTCGCGATATCAAAAGGAAAAATCCCCCCTTCCCACATCGAAAAGGCATGCTTCGCAAAATTTGTCTTGCTGATTTGAGACCACAAATCACGTCCGTCTTGCAAGAAGACCAACGCAGAGGCTTCCGCGCCTTTATGGAAGCGATTTGACATGCTGTGGGGCCTAGAGGACAGCCCTTTGTAATGCTAAGCAACTAGACCCAAACGTCCCTCCCTAGGCTGCGGATCTGGCTGCGATGCCGTACCGCAAGACAGCGCGCATTTGTGTACGCAAATCCTGCACCACAGATTTCCCATTTGATATGGGGAGGGGGGATTTTTCCTCTTAATACGCGAGCATCTCCGCCACCGAGGTGTTTCAGTCCAGCAGCGGCGGGTCCGGGTCCGCGAACGCGGCACAGAACACCGAGCAGAAGAAACAGGTCGAGTTTCTACCGAACGAAAACAAGCTTGTGTGGCAGCTGAAGAAGTTCCCGGGCAACAGCGAATTCACCCTGAAAACTCGACTGAACTCTATGCGAGGGGACCGAAGTAGAACATCTATTTTCCCGGGGCGGGAACTGCAACTGTCACAGTCGTGGGTTATGTCATTATTTCGACGTAAATTTTCTTTAAAAAGAATCGCAATGCCAAAGCCAACATGGACTTGCGTCCCGTATCTGCATGAGATGTCGCTATCGATTGGCTTTGGCTTCAAGTGGGTAGAAGTACGAGATTCACGCGACCGTGACAGCGCATCCCGCTCCTTTGCAGGGGCACCTTGATACTTGTCCGAGAATCGCAACTTCCGTCGGCGAAGCTGAACCTCGGGCCCATCTCGGTGAATTTCGAGATTCCGATGTTTTCTCTGTCAAAGATCGGCGTGCGGTACCTGCGCATCGCGGAGCAGCACCAGAATTACAACCCCTACCGCTGGGTGCGGTACGTGACGCAGAGCTGCAGTTACGTTTGCCGCATATAAGTGACGAAACGCGCCGCCGCGTCCTGTCCGTGCTGGAGTTCCTCATTTTCACGAGCGGACTTGTTCTATCACTCTCGATGTTGGGCCTGCTTTTTACGGGAGATCGGCCAAGGCCCCGTTGTACTAGAGAAAATCGCTTTGGGGTAGGTACTTAGGGGGGCTCGGATTGAATGGGCGAATGCTCGACAGAGCGAGGGACGGAAACGCTAAGTGCAGGATCAATTTTTTGTATACCGGTGGTCGTATTAATCACGTAATCAAAATATCGACGCACCTCCGAGAAAATAAAACACCACCAGCAAATGACTGCGATTGCCTCGGGTGAGTCTCATGTCTCAGAGTTCTTGCGCTGTTCCTGCCGCGAGCTCTCTTTAGTTTGAATTTTTGCTCTGTTCTACTACACCTTGTAGATCGGAAAACGAGACGTTCTTCCTGAGCTTCTGACGCGCAATTCGTTGCGTGTTTGACACCGTTTTGCAGTGATTGAAGACGGATTTTTCGACGCAACTTTGGGAAAAGTAAAGCCCATGGTTGAGTCGTAGTTGAAGTTGAAGAATTAATACTTTGCTTGCATTACTTTTTGCCGCGCTATTCTTGAATTGATATGCCTGTTTATCTAAGAGAAATACAAATAGCGAAGTAGCAAGAAGTCCGCAGAATATAGCTGAACGAATTTTTGGAGTAGGTGGATTTGCAAGGAACTAAATGATTGGCGCCAACTCGGTGGTGCACCCTCCTGGCCCGCTATCGTGTGCAACAGACAACGACCTCTAATCCTGACGTAACAGACATTCTAATGCAGCTTTTGTGTACTTTCAGTTTATTCAGCGTCCAAGAATCACTTGAAACCAGCTTGCACGGCTAGAAAGAAGAGAACAAGGGGCGTAGCACAAGAAATTAGCGCAAGAGATGTAGGTCGATGCATATCAGACTTTTTAATATTTGTTGCATACCGACCTGTCAACTTCGGGCATGAACAAATAACAAGAACAGCAGAAAAAAAAGAAAGAGTAAGTACTTTGTTCCACAGGATAGCCGGCAAGCGGTGCCGGGGCCAACCAGGAGCAGGAGAAGCAAGTGCGGGATACGTTCGCGAAAATGGAGGACGCGGTGGCAAAAAACAGTTGCCTCATGTTCTCGACCAAGTCCTGTCCCTACTGTCACTACGCAAAAGACTTTCTGCAGCATTTTGGAAAAAAATGCCACACCATCCAGCTGGACGAAGAAAACAACCGACTTCTAGGCGCGGTGGTCACCGCTGTGACAAACCAGCGGACGGTACTAGAGTTCAGGGGGAAAGGAACTGATGCTCTAGGTGTTTTATCGGAATAAACTGAAAAATGTTAACTTTATGTCTCGCTTACGTTTTTAGTGCCGCACGTTGGGCTGCGAAGAGATAAGGATCGCGTCTATAGTGCAAGAGTGGGTCTTTATCTTTAACTCCAAGCTTGTGCAGCTGGCGGCGCAACTAGACGCGTTCTTGGGGACACGGTACACTGTAGCAGATGAAGAGAGGTTGCTTATGGAGATACTGGTACAACTATTGAGGTGAATCTATCTCCGCAATAAACAGGTTCCCAACATCTTCATCGAGCAGCTGCATGTCGGTGGGTACGACGAACTTCTAGCTGTGGAGCAGCAGTGCCGAAACACGCAGTCGCTGCTGGCTACGGATAAAAAATACGAAAAGGTGTGCTCGTTTTTCTCCGAAAACAGTCCTCCTGGTGCGCAGGGGCAAGCGCAGAGCAGGGTGGGTGGGGGTTGAGGATACGACTGGAATAAAACGGAAACAGCTGCTCTTGCTGGAACAAGTGAACGTCAGGAAAGGTTAGCAACAGAACGACATACGACATGAGCGAAGCGCTCTTTTTTACCAAAAGTGACAGCGGGCAATGATCTGGTACATGTTGGCATTCAGTCATTCAAGTTGACCCAAAATTGGAAAAAATATGCTAGTGCTCGTCTCCATATGCCAGTTATACTTAACAGGAGGATTCTCGACACAAATGTTTGTTCCTGAACAAAAAGCAGGTGTATGGAAGTTTCATAGAAAAATCTCTTCGGTGATGATGTCTTTTCCTCTGTGATACTTTTGATTGTGGTTGGGCTTGCTGCGTGTGGTCTGAGCAAAGTATCGGCGTCGCCGTCAGTAAACCTCTTCGGTGTACTTAGTTTTTATCCAGCTTTTGTTACTGTGTAACACAGTGAATTCAAAAAATGCGTGATGTTTTTATCAAGTCTCTTTCGGTCGCGAGATGGATGATAATGATATCCCGGATTGCACCATACAGGAAATTCAAATTTGTCTTTTTGCATCAACATAACAATTACTCGGCTGATTGTCAGTTGTTTTTCACTTTCGGTGACAGCAAGGCGCGCACAGATGTTCGGTGTATTTCTTTTCCTGCTTTTTGACCCTTGGGGACGAAAGGTAACTCAGGGTTTTTTCTGTGTCTTTAACTGGCGGTCGAGAAGAATCGTGTCACAGCAACAATTACGTCACGTGGTGCATCTTCAGGACCCCACTTTTATTTTGACTCACAAGTATGCTCACAAAAATATGTAAGTGATCAAAGACGAAAATTTTTTGCCGATGCAGCAAGGGAATGAAGGATGAGAAAACAAAATTTGAGCACAAGAACACGACTTGGTGTATTGGCTGCACCTAATTGCCTCGCTTGTACTGTTTCGTTTTTCTTGGGAGTGCCATCTTTGGTGCCCGCGCAGCGCTAAAATGTAGTGATCACGCCACGAAGATCTCCTCCCTGCTAGAGATCCGCGATAACAAGGCAATTCCGCCTCGGGCGTTGCCCCGAGCGTGGCCGGCGGATTCTAGTGTCGACCCAGATCATGGATGGTAGAACTGCCCGACGACCTCTCGATGTCCAGGACGAGTTGGAACAAAGCCAAAAGGCCTGGCACCACCCCCGGTCTAGACCACCTGGAGCAGGGGGAAAAGAAAGACGAGAAAAGAAAGCAGCAGCACCTGCTCGGGTGAATCACCAGCTGGAGGCGCAGCGGCCCGATGCCAGGGAAGATTCAGTTTACCAGGCGTTTTTGCTTGAGCTCCGACGCATCAACGCCGAAGAAGATGATGCAGCTCCGATAGCGCGTCATCAAGATCAAGTGGCTTCAAAAACGGCAGCACCCAACAATAACATAGAAGCAGGCAAGGAGCAGCAAGAACCCCCGCCAGGCGTGCCCCTTGAGGACTGGGAGCAGCTGCTGTTCGCGGACGAGCAGCAAACCATCTACACCCTATCGTAAGGAAAAATCCCCCCTCCCCATACTGAAAAGGTATGTTTCTAAAAAGTTGTGATGCTGATTTGTGACCACAAATCCTGTCTCTCTTGCAAGAGGGCAAACTCAGAGACTCCCCCACGATATGCAGGCGATTGGTAATGCTGCAAGGCCTATAGGGCAGACGTTTGCCATGCTAGGCCCCTACACCAAGAGGCCCCTCTTTAGGCTTACGATCTGCGTGCAGTCCTCTACCGCAATACAAATCAGATTTGTATACGGAAATCCAGCATCACAAGTTTCGTTTTCGATATGGGGAGGGAGGATTTTTCCTTTTGATACACCCGGGAGGAAGTTCTCCGGTTTCTCGCGTCCACGGAGAACGACGTGCCTGCGGCCGTGCGGAGCTTCCGCGCCACCGTCCGGTGGCGCGAGGCGCGGAAAAGGAACGCGAAGAACAACTTTCTTCCCACCGCGTTGCAGCCCCCGGAACGGCTGCTGATGAACAACGGCAGCACGCGGTTCCTCGGCTTCGCTCACGACGGCTATCCGGTAGTTTGGTCGGACAGTCGACTCTCCCGGCCGGAGCTGGTGGACCCCAACGACCCGGAGTTCACGATATCAACTGTAAAAATGTCTGGGTCTGGAAGGTCGGAACTTGTGATGCGAACTTTGGACTCTAAAAAAATCTGTATTGCATGACCAGCAAGAGGAGTCTAGTTTGTGCTACGCGGGGAGGGCATTTGTCATGCGGAGTAGGCATCAGGAAGCCATCTAGAAATCTGTGATGCTAGGTCGTGCATTACAGACATCCTGGGTCATGCAAAGTATGCATGACAAACCCGGCAACATTCCAGACCCAGACATTTTTGCATTTGATACACGATGTACTGCAACAACACTATCTACATGATGGAGGCGCTGAAGCGGGTCTGCCTCCAGCGGCAGAATATCCTGTGTAAAAACATCCCCACACCAGAGTCAAGATGGGAAATCTGCTAGACAAATTATCCAGCTTTGGTTGTTTCGCATGACAAATTTGGCCCCGTAGTGTAATCCTGTTTAGCTACCTCAAGCAGCATCACAGATCTAGCATATCATGCTGATTAGAGCATCGCAAATTCTCAAACACGATTAGAAAACGCTTCTCATGCGGCTCCGCATGGGAAACCTTTTTGGCATGCAAATCTGCATGACAACTCTGGTGTGCTATGCCGTAGAGTAGGGGGGAGCTATGCCGTAGAGTAGATGCAATAACTCACAATCACTTTACCACCACTGACACCACGTCGGTATCTCCCCCGACTCCCTGAAGAGGAGTTTCGAAAGAAGTAGATAAACACCCGAGCGTGGCGGGTCCGCTGTGCCCCCCTTTACAGTAGCCTACTAGATCTCAGGCCCCCTTTTTTTACACTAGCCGAGATCTCAGAACCAGCGCCCCGCGCTGCGGAGTACCCCTCCTAAAAATGACCTCCTCCCCGCCCGGGCACGGCGCCTGAATCCTGCAGCAGTCGTCCACGCACCATCCTGCGCAGCAGCAAGGTCCTCGCTTAGTCTGACGGGCATGGGCAGCAACTTCTCCATGTTCGCAGCAGATCCGGAATACGAAATCAGACCTGGGCAGGAGTTCTGGAAAGGGTTAAGTCCACCATGCCGCCGGTGGATTAAGCAGCTCGGGTAGGCTTCGGCAGACGGACACCAGGTCGAGGCTTCGCGAGCGTGGATGCCCCCCAGCTCGCCCAAGCCAGTAGCAACAAGCTCAATCGAGTCGTGTTCCCCAGCGCAATAGATGCGATGTAGGGGCGCGCAATAGATGCGAGCTCAAGGCTTTTCAGCGCTGGGGGAGATGGTGTTGCCCACGACGCGGGAATATTCCCGCCGTGGAATCGAGAATGAACCTGGCGCCGATGTTTTGCGCTTCTGTGTTGCTCCCGCGTGGGCAGCGGTCCGCGTGCAGAAACGTGCTCTACTTGAGCAGCCTTGCCAATCGTGTATCTGTACCCCGCACGTTCGGTCATGTGTAAAGCAGTCGCCGATCATGATCGCCAAATCCGGCGGTCTGGTAGATCAGCATTAAATCTCGCACCTCTTACCTTTAGTTTGGATGTTTAAACATCACTTCAGGCTGGCGCTTGTCGCTTAGTGCCTCCAGTGAATGCATTCGTCCAGACAGTAACAACTGGTTTGCCGCAGGCTGCAGCTTTCTCTTGTAGTTGTGGGCCTGGCTGTACATCCCCGTTATAGTGGTTGCGAGTTGGAAGTTTGCGAGAATCAGAGTAAGGAATTGTTGGCAAATAAAAAGTGAGGCGTTGTTCAGATGGCAAGTTGGCACAGTATGGATGGTTGTGAAGTATGGTTGGTGGCGATAACAGAGTTGGAATATAGTGGCCGGGAGATGATGGCGATGGCACTTAGGTGTCCGCCTGACCCACCCGCCCTGCGTCTCAGGCCATCTGCGGCTATGGCACAATGGGGGGGCAAAGTGTGTCGCATTTTGTTTAGCATGACAACTCTGGTGTGGGTACGTTTTTACATAGGATACAGAAGTTGCCCACGTTCCAGATTTACGTGCTGATGGACTTCTCGGGGTGGACCTTCCGCCTGTCCAAGCACTCCGCGCTGCAGAAGACGCTGGTGAAACTCCTGCTGAACCACTACCCGGGCACCCAGCGCGGCACCTTCATCATCAACGCGCCACCATTGTTCCAGATCGCGTGGAGCATCTTTCGCGCGTTCGCGCCCTCGAATACCTGCAAAAAGATCTTTTTTCTGCAGATCCCCTTCCATTCGCGGGACACCATTGTCGGGGACGAGGAGAATTTTCCGTTTCTGCAACAAGCGCTGTTCACTAAGATTCCCAAGGAAATTCTGCCTTTCGAGTACGGAGGTTCGAACCAGTTCCCGGTCTGCACCATGGGGCCGGGGGAGCCGGAGTTTCCGACCGCACGCTTCTACCACCAGGCCGAGCGGAGAATCACGGACCCGGACCCCGAGGGCAACTCACGGAGAGGGATGCTGGGTAGTGGAACACGACCTGATCATGATTTTCATAGTACATCACCGCCAGCCGGGAAGATCTTATCAAACAATCACAGCAGCACAAATAAGGTTAAGGGTCATGCGGACGCTAGAGCTAGTACTGCGGAGATCGTGCCCGAAAGGAGCGGAGCTTCTCCGTCGAGTCGGAGAAAAACGAGTAAAGATAGCCCAATAAGAAAGAGTAGTAAAACAAAACCAGAAGCAGGAATGCCGCCAGTGGGGAGTACAACCACATCTAGGCCCAGCGCTGCGGAGAGCAGTTCACCGAGCAGCTCCCCGTCTCTAGATGCGACCATTAGCCCCGGAAGTATCGAGAAGACGAGCAAAGAGCGGCGGCTCGCGGCGTTTAGTCACCGGTTTCAGCACGCGACTAGTACTGTGACTGAGATGACCCCCACGTCAAGCCGTGCTTCTGGGGTCCTCTATGCGAAGGAAACAAACTTGAACCGCACCTACGTCTCTGGTTTCACGCATCCACTGGCACAGGAACACCACGAGAAGCTGGGGCTTTCAGAAAGGGAGTGGGGGAGAGCGCGGCAGGAGGACTTTTTCCACCTCGGAGGTACTGCTAGTAGAAATGGGTCCACCTCTACTAGTACAGGTCTCACGGGAAATGTCGAACAAGGCTTCTACAACGCTTTTGGGTCGTACTACAACTACTACGGCACCACCAGCACAACAAGGTCTTCTGCGTCAAGTCCCTTCTCGAGCAAGTCCCGGCAAGGGTCGAAAACGGTTACATTTCGTACAGAACAGGCAAACAAGCAGGAAAAAAAATCCACTGGAGCCACTCTAGGGAGCTGTTTACGGTCTTTCCTACAAACACTCGGGCGGGGGATATTCGGCTGTGCTACGAAAGCGGTTGTGTTTTTCTGGAACAAGGTGGTTTTGGAGCTGGTCATACCAATTTTAGGCTTGTTATGTACTTGTTGTGGTAGTGTATGCGGGAACAAGTACGTGTTTTCGTGTACAAAAATATTTGCTCTGGTCTTCATTTCCTTCCTCTGTTCAAATTTCTTCCGGCCCATAGAAAGATTACTCTCCTTGCTCTTTCTCTACTGTGGCGACGCTGTAGTAGTTTTCGATCCCGGGACGGTAGATGGCAGTACAACTGGCACAACCGGCGGGCAAGTACATCTACATGGACCTGCAGGTTTAGTCACAGCAGAGGACAAAATTGCTGGTAATGTAACTTTTGCGACATGAAATTTTCGGTTTTTGGTCTGTTACTCACGGGAGAACAGGGTACTTATACGACGACCTTACATTTTTCGTGTCATGTGAAAGGAATTACTATCCTGCAGTGATTGATCTGCGCATCATAAATAGAGGAAGAAAATGAACAGGATCTTCGGCAGCCATACCTGGTTTTCGGGTGGTATTTTTGCAGTTACGAGCGCTTGTTTTTTCGTCCGGAAAGAAGGTCAAGTTGGCCACTTGCACCTCATCGTACAAAAGTTTGCACACTAGTTGGTTCGCTGAGAGATGAATATGCATAGCGTCTACAATGATGTGATGAAGAGCCTCTGAAGCATATATGATACAGTCGGTTCTTCACTCGCTTGGTGAAGCTCGGTAAAGAGGGTGTCTTTTTTTATTGCCCAAACTTGACAGAATGCACTATGATTTAAAAACTCGTATCGTGCCTACAGTGACGGCTTAACTTCGTTCTTGAAAAAATTCGGCTGTGCCAATCGTTATCGTACGCCTGCTGATGCTATCGAAAAATCACATGGATTTGATCGATTTGCTATCAAAAAAACCTTTCTTCCAGGAGCGGAACCCCATACCCATACCCATACCCCGTGATATCGTTCTCCCTCATGATATACTTGTGAACGGCCCCGCCTCTGTTGATTCGACACGGAAACTCCACTTCTAGACACACGATTCCGATCATTTTCATACTTGTTGAACCCAGTGTACTACTAGGAGTCTTGCGAACGCCAGTGCAGCGCGTGAGCGCGCTTGCTGGTGCGAGCACGCGAGTATCTTGTTTTTTCTCAGGTGTTAAAACACGAGTAGAAAAATAGTACGACCAATTCTTGCTCGCGGAAACAGCACGAGCGTCATAGTACTGCTTTTACGTGGTGGCTGCAGCAGACACTGATTTAATATCAAATAGGAATCAAGAACATGGCGGCGACTGCAACCAGCGCAGGTGGTTCATCCGCTGACTTCGGGGAGAAAGCACGGGGCGAGATGTGCGAGACCTACGAGCACTCTTTGCTGTTCGCTTCTTGCTGAAGGAGTTCGAAGTTCTCGGTCTCGGGTGACCACAACCGGAGTTCGCCAGCTCATCATGGCTGGCAACCGGAAAGGATTAGTACACCGAGATGAACAAGATGAACGACGAACGGAAAATTACGCTCCAGCTGTCCCCACGTGTGTTCGGCCCGCCGGAGCATCAAGTGCAAAAACCACCGGGTCCGCAAATTTCGAAAAGTCCTCTCGCGGAGAGTCACGAGGACATCATCGTGGTTCTGGTCGCGAAGATTTTTATCTGAAGAGAAGTCCACAACAACATAAAGTGCTTGGTCGAGATCGCGACTGCTTCGATGTGCATCACTCGGGGCACGACCGCGAACCGACCGAGGATGAGTGTGATGAGGAGGATGGGAGAAGAACGGCAGAGGATTTTTCGTCAGCGGGCAGTACTACAAGCACCAACTGGGCCGGCGTTGCAGATGTTCTGCAGAATCTTCTGGCGAAAGCGGTTAGCGCGACTTCCTGCCGCAAGCGGCTTAAGAATTCCAAGCCAGGAAGGAGTAGAGGGCCGGAGACGAGAGTTGTCGATCGTGAAAGCAGTAGAAGTGGTTTTATTTTTAACGCGATGAATTATGACGACGAAGATGATCCGGAATCCTTTTCGCCTACGGAACATCAATCAGTGCCCCGAAATGTTGTTGGAACATTCCCGCGAGCAGTTCCCCGACGGAAGTTCGTGAGCGCACTGCAGGGCGATCACTTGCAGGATCAGGAAGAGGAGGCCGAGGGGAACGGGGACGATCGTGGCGCTTTCAGCTCGACAAGACACGACGTTGCGCAGAACAATATCAACGACGACCGGCACAGGCACCACGTGGAACACAGCCAACGCGCGTCACCCCATGATCTGAGCATATTAAGCTCGCAATATGAAGAAAGTGACGTCCTTTTCCGTTCCGCAACACAGCACGAACCGCAAATGACCCAACACCGAAAGAACGCTTTGTCTCTGAACGGATACTCCTCCTCTTCGCCCTGCCAGTCCATCACCAGCACGCCGCGGAGTTGCGTTGACAAGCAAGGCGCACCAGGTGGAAAAAGCGGGTGTAGGACATCAAGCAGCCGGGTTTCGAATGAGCAACCTCCGCGCCATCATGCACCTTATGAAGATCATTTTCAGCAGCAGCCCCGGAGTGGCAGTTCGTCGAAGCACAGGAGCGGCAACTACAGAGCGATCGTCGGAACACCGCACTCGGAAGTGATCTCCACCTTCAGCGAGTTTCGTGCGAAAAATGCGGCAAGGAATAGTGGTAGTTGTGTGAATAATTACATGCTTGAACAAGGCGACATTTCGTCTCCCCGAAGCACCACACGCAGTGCGGCGCGAGAGGAATTCGATACCGACGTAAATATTCGGCAGAGGTTGAGCTTTGACGAACACGATGTTGTAGTCTCACCAGGACAACAGGCTCCTGCAGCTTCCGGCAGCACCTCCCGCGGCTACGCACAACAGCAGCAGAGCCAGGGGGTAGAGATGCAGGAATTTTTACAGACAGCAGGAAGTAGTAGGCAGGGCCATGATCAGGAGGAACAACGCGGGGAACAATATGAACGCATGATGTTAAACAGACCACAGGCTCCGACGACGACGTCGCAGCACCACAACTCCTTCATGCAGCACCCAGCACAGCAGCCGCACAACCCGCACCAGCAATCGCAGCAGCCGGTGGCGGCTCGGCAGCACCAGGTAACTTTCGTCGAAGTTGTGGAGGATAATCCGTCACCCACCCTGGGTATTGTGCGCATTGATCACGACTACGACCCGGTTCCCGGAAACATCGCACACCCGTCCAGCTACAGCTACCGCTCGGTCAGTTTGATGGTGCCGGGCTTGACCTTCGAAATGTGCCGCAGGGGCGTCATGAGTCGCGAGGTACGAATTGTTGTAGTTCTCGTTTGATTTCCATTTCTTGTCTCGCAAATCTTTATTTCTCAGAAGGACGCCACTTACTAGTACTTCGGATCATGATGTTTTGGTAGAATTATGGCCGCAACAACGTGCATCGATCTATCAGGCACGATAAGAACCTAAAAACAGGGTCACAACTTTCAAGTCCTTAGCTGCTATCCGCAATGAAAATTCTTTCCACCCTATCAGGTCGAGCGTTCCTTTTACCGCGTTTTGGACCAGTTGGTTTTTCAGTTTCGCGTGTCGGGGATCACTTCGGACTGCGGGTTCATGGTGTTTTTCCAGCAGAAGGCACAGCAGCACGTGCGGTCGCGGTCCCTGTTCCACATCCCGGTCTTCATGTCTGTCTTTGCGCACTTGCCGGCGGTGGCCTGCTCCACGCCGGTGGAGGCGGAGATCGCCATCTTCACGGCGTCCGGCCGGGACCTGCTCCCCAAGCTGCCGGAAATCCAGAAGGTTTCCGGCTTGTCGCACGTGAATCTGAACCGCTTGGTGGTGGTTTCCTGCTCCCGCATCCCGGGGCTGCACGAGGCGCTGCAGTACGGCAAGCCGCTGAACCCGGGGGAGGTGAAGCGCGGCCTCGAGCAGTTGACGGAGAAAGTGTTGACGCAGCATCCCAACGTCGCGGTCTTCCTCATCGAGTGCACGGAGTTGCCGCCCTACTCGGAGGTGATCCGGCAGGCGACCAGGCGGAACCTCCCCGTGTACGATGCGATCACCAACGCCGACTTCTTCATGAGCGGGGCGCTGTGCAACTCCCGATTCGGCATCGGAACCAGCATCGGCAGTGCAGCTGGTGTAGACCACCACGGCATGAGCAGCAGCATGATCGTCCCAACGGGTCCTCCGATTGTGCGCGAATCCTCCTACGTGTCCAGCAACAGTAACGGACAACAAGGCGCCGGTGGACCTCCAGGTTTGACGTATCACCATCCAAATGCACGGAGGAAGTACAATCCAGCGTCTTCCTCAGAACAGATGTACGGAAACACTATGAGCAACAGTAGTGCAGCACCAGCTGGACCGAGCTACAACCCGAGTTACGGAATGAGCAGCACGTTGAACAACCAGCAGCATGGTACAACTACAGGAAGCTTTCCAAATCCGCATCAGCGCACGGTCCACAGTCACGCAGTCACGAGTTTCAGCGGCAATAACACTTCTTCAGCATCAATTGGAGTAGATCATCATCATGGACATGGTACAACTTTTTACAACAATACCCAGGAGTCGTTGTTCAACCCCCACCAGCACCAGCAAATAGCGCATCCGGATCGGCGGGCGGTCAACGACTGCTCAACACCTGATATGGTAATTCCTGAGCAACATCTTCAACGGGCGCCAGCGCACAACAGACCGATAGCGTTGACACCGGAGATCATGCAAAATAGTACAACTTCGACTTGTTCCAGCAGGTACAACAACACTTCTAATTTACAGTCTGCGCAGGGCCAGTATCACGATCATGTGCTGGCGCCCCATCAAACGCCGCCAGCGAACACTAAATCAGCAGCAGTCCTCTACTCGCCCCCGACGGACGAGTTTCTGCGCCGGATCTCCGGGTCCACGACGAACGGCACTCTGATCGGGCAAACTGACATGACTTCTGCCGGTGGTTATCACGGCAAGGACGTGGACTCGCTGGCGACCATGTCGACCATCACCGGCGGATCTGAGGACGCCGTCTCCTACCCGTCCTCCCGCGGTACCTTCGACCCGAGCGTGTTCTACGGAAATCAACAGGTTCTTGCGGCGGGGGCAAATAGTAGCACCACTGGTGGAGCTGCTGGAGGTCCTCCGGTGCCGACCGGTAGTTGTGCAACTACTTCTACAACAGCTCATGCTGCAATTTCTGGATAAAAAAATTGTACTGTCGGTGGTCAACTCTAACTCAACATCTTCAAACTTCAAACCTGCAAAGAAAAGCAACGCAGAATTTTTTTGTCGACTTCCAAATCTTTTGTTGATTCCCGCTCGCTTTTTGATGGTATGTCTAAGACAGGGCGACCTGAAAATCAATTCGCATTTTGTCGACGAATTCTATCACGAACTTTGAATGATGTCAAAGCGCCAAGGCATATTGAACAGGACCTCTGTGTCCCTGTCCTTTTACTTTTCCGAGACTAGTTTCTTTCTACATCAACACAACATCACCAATTATTTTGTCTTTTATCTCGCTCGGTCTTAATTCATTTGGGGATCGGCGAATCGAAGTCAAGCGCGTTTTTGCCTTTGCTAGAGATTGCGATGGCTTTACCAAGAAATCTTTCCTTATCGCGACTGTCGTAGCGCTCCAACAGGTTTTGTTGGTTTTTTTCAAAAGCGCACGCGGTGTGCGGCGGTAGGTCCAGAAGCGTCTAGCACGGCAGATTGATCTTTTGTGTGAACGTGATATAAAATTTTCGAGGATGGAGCAAGGGAGATCGTCTCTTGCTCATTCTCGTCTGTGCAGATTACTTACACGCTGTATAATTTGGGTTTTGAAACAGTACACCAGAAAATCTCAAAAACCACACTGAATAGCGATGTAGTCATCGTTGCTTAGTGTATTTCACTTCTCTGTTGTGGCGGAAAACTCTTCATACACAAGTTTTTCATATTAGAAACACTTTTCGTCCACATTTTCCTTGTTTTTCGCCACACAGTTTTGTGTTTTCCTCGTGATTTTTTTATGTAGCTGAGTTTCATAAACATAAGGCCTTTTTGAATGAAACAATCTTCCATTTTTCTGCGTACAACATTCCACAGATCGGGATGGTACAGGGAAAGTTTCTACCATGTAAAAACGCGACAAGTGCGCCGCCATGCAGTGCGCACCCGCAGTAGTATTTCGCGGTTTTTTATTTCGCTCCAAATTCTGCCTGCTGATTTAGATATCCTATTCACTCGAATAGTGCAGCCTCATTTTTCTGTCCATTTTTGATATATTGTGTTTTTTTCTGTATGATGAATTTGCTATCAACCGGTACGCTCGCGCGCACCTGCGTCGATTCAGTAGAATCTGTCGCAGGGATGCGGTAACAAATGTTTCGCGAGATCCTACTTGCACTCAAATACTCCAAGCAGATAGACACGGCAGGCTGTCGAGTAAGTCACGTGATCCAGGCTGCTGTGTCGTATCTTTCGGCTAAGCTCTGTTATTGAGTCGGTTTTCGTACTACTTTGTTTTTGAGAAAAACTGCGGAAATGCAACTTGTTACGGGGGCCATTCAGTAGTTCAGAAGTCCCTGCTTGATAAAAAATTTTGTCCGCATTACATGTGATTTCTTTCGAAAATGAAACTACCAACACAAGCACTTCGGACGAGTATTTTGACGGCAAAAGAACTTTTCACGCTATTGATAGGTACAAACTTCTTTCATGAAAAATTAGCAAACTCTCGCTACGGAAGAGAAGCCTACTCGGCTTGTCTCCCTGACGGGCGAGTAGATTGACCGCACGGACCAGTGGGAGCGGTAGCATGGCATGATCGTTCAGCAGGTTCTTTCACCATACTCTCTCTGCATTTCAACATATTCGTGCGACGCAAAAGGGATCGGTTTGTTCGTTGATATGATTTTTGACCCGCTCCTGTAATCGTACTCGTAGCAATGCAAGCACAGGATCTTCGGTTCACCTTGTATATTGCAGCTGTAGCAGATGCAGATGTCGACGCCTCGGTACTAGCATCTTTCGTGCGAAGAACAACCAGGAGTCGGTGAAGATATTTTACTGAAAAGCGCTTTTCATCATTTCAACAAGCTAGGCTAATGTCGGTACTACTGTCGTGCATTCGTTCTTCTCTTTTCGTCTTCGTCCGGAAGAAGTTACATTTGCGTCTGGCCTTGTGTTGGTCAGCACAGTCGTGCTCGCTGCAAGTAGACTACTATATATTTGCGACCATATTAGTACCATTACGCAATCATGCCCATCATCATCTGTCACCAGGCCCCCTCCTCAAACCAACTATGTCAGAAACATAAATATGACAGGTACCCTGAAAATGAAATCATGTAAGTACGATATGTTCGGCTTTTGCTCCACTGACGTTCTTGCACGTACTACATTTGCTACATTAATATTACCGAAGTAGACGAGCGACAGTTCTTTGTCCTAGCACATCATGTCCCGCAACGCGGCGGCGCAGCAGTCCTCCATGAAGAAGCACCATGCGGTGGGACAGAAAAATCTGGAGTACATGGAGGAACTGCACCGGCGGTTGAAACGGAATCTGTATCAAGAGGAAAAATCCCCCCTCCCCATATCGAAACGAAGTTTCTGATGCTGGATTTCCGTACACAAATCAGATTTGTCTTGCAGTAGAGGACTGCAGGCATATGTCAAGCCTCGGTCGAGAGGTTTTGACGTAGGCACCTAGCATGGCAAAAGTGTATGCTCTAAGCCCAACAGCATCACAAACCGCCTGCAAAATGCAGGGGGCTCTCCAGACTTGCCTTCTTGCAAGACAGACAAGATTTGAGGTGACAAATGTGCATCACAAATTTTCAGACGGATGCGTTTTCAATATGGGGAGGGGGAATCTTTCTTTACGATAATCTGATCGGCGAGAACATCACGCCGCAGCTGATCCGCCGGAAGTTTTTGCAGCAGACGCTCGGGAACCCCCAGTGCTACTATACCACCTCGCAGACCAAGGAGAAAAAGAAGAAGAAGGACGACGAGGATGAGGATGACGATGAGGACGAGGAGGAGGACGTGCTGGTGCAGCGCGACATGTGGGCGACCGAGGCGATGGAAAACCTGAAGGCCGAGGCGCTGCGGAAGAACATCACGGCGCGGAAGCTGTCGCACGGCGGGGGCTGGTGGAGCGCGAGCGGCAAGTGGAAGGTGGTGGAGTCGGTCCGGACCCAGCGGCTGCGGGAGGAGCGGCTGCGCAAGCGCGAGGCCGCGGAGCTGAAGAAGAAGCAGGAGGAGCTGTGGAAGCAGAGCGAGGAGGAGAAGTTGCGCGCGGAGTTCAACAGTTCGGTCGCGAGCGGCAAGGCCAACCCCATGGAGAAGTCCGGCGGGATCGCGTTTTCGGTTTCCAACGTGGACTTCAATTCCGGCGGGGGCAAGACAGCCGGCAGCGACTCCGACAGCGAGCAGGAGGACTCCAAGATGAAGATGCGCAGCCAGGCCATGGACGTGAAGAAGCAGATCATCGCCACGATGGCCGAGCTGCTGGCGCTGGAGCTCGGGTCGCTGACCGGATACGGGCTTTACGGGGACGGGAAGAAGTATGGATGTGTCAGGATTGAAATCGTCAAAGTTGAAATAATTTGTGATGCGTAAAATGTAGGGCACGTGTGGCCTGTGTTGGGGAGGAGGCAAAGGAGACCGATTGCGAGCCTGTTTAGGGAAAGACGATGTGCTGCCAGAGTAGCATGACAGGAGCAGCGTTCTTTGCCCAAACAGCATGACAGACTGGATTTTGGTGCTGCCGAAATTTGTCATGCGCCACTTGAAAACTGAGGCCCCAACTGGCATCCATTTTATGCATGGCAAATCATTTCAACTTTGTCGATTTCAAACCTGACGCTTGCATAAGAAGCACCCGGCCGCGGTCGGGGTCACGGACCTGGAGCTGTTGACGGACTTCACGCGAATCGAGCCGGTGTTGCTGAATTCGCTCGTGGGGGATCTTCGCCCCTTTCTCTCCCGGTGGAAATACGTGTCCATGAGCTCGCGGCAGCTGAAGTCCGTGCAGGAATACGAGAACCGATGGAGCAAGTTGGAGCAACTGCACCCGCTGAACGATCTCAACTGGTTGGCGGATCAATTTGTCATGCTGCACCTCAGCCGCGAGTACCCGGAGCTGGGGCTGGGCTTGGTGAAGAGTGCGATGAACACATCAACTTCGGAACAAAGTGCCGGCGCAGCGGCCGCGACAGAAAACGCCGGGAGCGCCGGGGGGAACAGCAGTGGCGGCGCGGCGGCGGACGGGTCTCCGACTGGGGGTGTCGAACATCAGGCGCAGGAGGACGGCCAGGGGCAGGCGGGCCACGTCCGGTTCGGGGGTGAGCAGGTGGTGGAAATCGAAGGAGCGTCGTCAAGTACTAACACCGGCGGAAATGGTGGCGCACAAAATAACCAGCAAGCCGGTGGGCAGCAGGGGGCGGCAGCAGGGTCGGCCTCCAGTGCAGCAGCGGCGAAAAAGAAGGACAAGAAGGAGGAGCAGGAGGAAGACGCGTTCCAGCCCGGCCAGTTCGGGTGGATCAGCATCACGGAGCTGCAGGCGGTGTGCGGGGCGTTCTTGGAGTTCCGCTTCCCGAACCGCGATTTGTACATTGAGGACAATCAGCTGACGCCGGCGATGTATCTGAAGGCGCTGGAGATTGCGTTTTCGCAGACGAGCCCGATTCAGCAGGCGCAGACGCCGCTGGAGGTGAACTTCGACACGGCCTGCGTCGTGTGCGAAATCTGCCGCATCCTCTGGCTGCGGTTCCAGAAGCAGGGGGGGTGGCAAAAGAACGTGGTGTCGCAGCTGATGGAGATCTTTCCCACCAACATTTCCGGCGAGCCGCTCGAGGTTCCGAACAGCCGGGTGTTCAACATCATGCAGCGGGGCGGCATTCCGGTGGACCCGGGCGACGAGCAGTCCGGCTTCATCGACCTGCTCCGCGAGTCGGACATCAACCAGGACGGGGTCACCAGTTTCGAGGAGTTCTGCTACCTGCTGAAGCGCTTCGACGACACGCTGCGGGCGCAGACGTTTCTGAAGATCGTGGAGCACGGGTACGAAGACTTCCTGCCCGGGTACTTCAAGGACGAGTGGCTGTACGCGCTGAAGTCGCTGAAGAACAGCGCGGACGTATCCCATGTAAAAACATCCCCACCCCATAGTCAAGATGGGGATTTTGCAACATAAACCTTGAAGTTTTGGGAACCACGCAAGACAAGTTGCAGGCTGTAGTGTAGTGCATTTTAGCGAGGGAATCCGCATACCAAATCCATCTCCTCATCCTGTTTACAGCATTACAAGTTCCAAAACACAATGGGAAACGCCTCTCATGGGGATGCGCATTACAAACGCTCTTGCGCTTGCAGATCTGCATCACAGCTCTGGGATGGGGATGTTTTTACACAGGATAGGACGCGTCGGTGCAGCTGTCCACGAAGCCCTCGGAGGAGGTGTACACGGTGGCGGACCTGTATGCAAGAAAAAAACTGTGTAAGTGTAAATTTGTGTTGCAGAACATGCAACAGAGTATGCGCCTGTCATGCCAGACAGCCATGAAGTCCTCTTTTCGTGTGTGTTTTCCCTTACAAGCCGCGCATGACAGGTTTTCTCTGTCATGTAGAGCAAATTTGTGATGCTGTCAACCAAAGAAAGTTTCACTAACACAGTTTTTTTCTTGGATAACCTGCGTGACGCCTTCGCCGCGATGGGGCTCGAACAGCAGATCAGCCGGGAGCGGCTGCGGCAGATGGACCGGCTGCGCGACGAGCTGGAGATCGACCCGCGCCACATGGACGAGTACGACGTGAACTACTGGATGGGCGCGTGCTTCCAGCAGAACTGCGGGGACTTCGCGGCCATCGTCCGCGAGTGGAGCTTCGACCGAGACAAGAAGCGGATGGGCAAGTACGTCCGGGACAAGAAGGACCTGATGAAGCCCACGTGCAAGCTGTCCATCCTGGACCACATTGACGACCTACTGGGGCAGGACTTCAAGACGGACTGGTGGAGCCTGGTGGGGACGAAGACCCTGCGTCTCTCCTCCTGGCAGCACGACAAGCCGCACTTTTTGAACTCGAAACTGGCCGGGAGGGTGATGTCGGTCGCGAACCGGACGCCGGCGCCCAAGGAGATGACCAACACCACCCAGGACGCACTGGCGCAGGCCCGGAAAATCCGAACCCTGAAATCGCGGGACCGCATGGGGATCGATGCGCACGGCGAGAGAATCGTCGCAGAAACCGACGCAGACCGAAAACCAAAGGAAATCTGGCGGATCTCTTAAGCCGGTGGACTGGAAAAGAAGCTGCACCGCAATGCCTCTGTCTACTGACTCGCCGGTTCGGTCGTGCAACATCATCCAGCAGGCGTGAAATCAGACATGAGGCATTTTGTAGCTTTAGAAAGTTACTACACCTAACGAAAGTAAAGCAGGGAAAGCCTGCTTGCATTTTAGTTTTTTTTCTTCCTTACATTGTTTACATTAAGTACCCTCATCTAGTAAAAGCTCCTATGGATCATGTTGAGAGATCGAGCACCCCTCTCTTTACTGCTGCAGAACTTTTCTGCTCATTCCAAGAATCAATCCCGTAACACGTGACGGCTGTCGTTGTCTACCATAGCACTGTCTTTTAATCGGACATTGGAAAAAGAAGCACTGTTATTGTGCCTTGAGAAAATGAAGATGCATTAGGTTGTTCGAGACAGCTGGCGAGCGATCAGTAGAGAGTGTCAGGTTTTCATCGTCTATTTGCTTAGCAGTCCACTACGAACTGCGACTGGACGGACGAATGTAGAGCGGATTTGTCGTTTGAGCGATGCCTGGAAATCGTATTCAGGTCGGGCCATTGTCTTCTGCAACTACCGAGTATGCCTATGCTGTGTCTGATTGCAGTGCTATTGTGTCGAACGGTCTATCAAGTGAATCCGATCATCTGTGGTCCTGGCGAGGCAAGTTTTGTGTGAAAATTTTTGTTGCGCGTCGCTTATTTTTCGTGCCTAACAACAGCCCGACGCTGTGATCGAGCACATCTTCTGTTCCTAGAACATAATTGATTTTGATCTATGATTTGGCAAGCACCAACAAACATGATGTCCTTGTCCTCGCAGGTGTTCACCAGTTTCTTGCAGGATCACTTCCACCAACCGCACATTGGGCGTCGACCACCTGCTCACCCGGCCAAATCGCCGTCTTCTCCCGAATTTGTTTTTCCCTCATTTTCATCACCCCCGCGGCCTCCACGTTCTTGTACTAGAACTTCTTTCCTCAGCAGCCTGACGGGAGCTTCGACGCCGCCAGTGTTTCACTCCATCAATGTGCTCCACCCGCCGGACCCGAACCACCCGGACAAGGTCGGCGATCTGATCTCCGACCTGGGGTTCGACAGCCCCGCCAGCCCGATCCTGTTCGGCCATGTATGCATTGCAAAAATGTCTGGGTCTGGAAGATTGGTGAGGTTTGTGATGCTGTGTCTGCTTGACACGAAAGGTGTGCCATGCAAGGCCTAGCATCACAGGTTTGGAGACGGTTTCCCAATGCTTAATCCGCATGACAAACGCCTTCTTTCGGCGACAGGAAATGGAGTGCTCCCTTTGCTGTCTAAGCATGACAGATCTTTGTGTGATCCAAGTACGCATCACAAGTTCGCATCCTTCCAGACACATACATTTTTGCATTTGATGCCACAGCTCGTTGAACAACGCGCCGAACTACATCGCCACCACGGACATGTTCAATCTGGACAACACCTGCTTCGTCGGCAGCAGGCGGTGTCCCGCCGCCGCCCAGGACGCGGTGCGGAAGCTGCTCGGCGGGGAGGAGGCGGTCCTTTCCGACCCGGCGAAACAGGACGTGGTCGCGAAAGTCCGCAACCACCCCTTTTTCGACGATTCGGATCTGCAGCACACCGACCCGGAGTACCAGCAGACCGCGGTCAAGTTCCACCCGAAGTTCACGTTTCGCTACCCGCTGTTCGGCCCCGTGCGGGTGCAGCTCCGCGAAATCGGGTACCTGAAGAACGCCGACGCCTCGGAGGACAACACGCAGGACCCGTCGAGCGCGATCGACGACAGTCCGACGGGCGCGACGGTGAAGGAGGTGCAGGACAAGGTGAAAAGCGGCAAGTTTGTGAAGTACGTGAAAACCGGGTCCGAGCACGCAAATTCGACGGACGCGAAGGGCCTGGCGCCGGTGGTGCACTTCGACCAGCGGTTTTTCGTGGGGCGCCTGGATCGGCTGCAGTTCGAGAAGGCGATCTACCTGCGAGAAATCCTTCCGTTTCGCAACGAAAAGATGGGCCTGAGCGCGCAGCACTTGGCGGAGAACGGGGACAAGGCGCTGGAGAGCTCCAGTGTGGGGTTCTCGAACGCGGGATTCTCCGCGAAGGCGGGGGAAGCGGGTGTGGCAGGAGTGGGGGTGCCACAAGGGCATCAAACGAGCGGCAGCACCAGTGCCAGTATCGGCACCAACCGCCACTTCCAGCTGTTTTTGCAAAAAGACGAGATGGCGATGCGGCGAAAATTGGAAAACCCGCGGGAAAGCGACCAGCTGACGGACGACGATTTGGACGTGCTGAATGCGATCGTGGAGGACTACGGCCAGGCGCAGACCGCGTTTCTGCAGCCCTCGCAGCACTTCCCGCTGCGCAGCGTGTTGTACAATCTGCACACCGCGAAACCCGTCGACGAGAACGTGTCCGCCGAGGAAATAGCCGCGGCGGACGCGCTGGCAAAGGCGGGCTCCGGGGGGTTCGGAATAGTACAACAGCTTCCCTCCGTGTCCGATGTGACAAATTCGCTCAGTTCGCTCGCGTCGCGCATCCCGGGGCTCGGGACAGGTGGCAGTAGTGGTCCTAAGGCGTCGCAACTGATGGCAAGTTTGGTCAAGAAGTACCTCCCGGAAAACGCGGGAAATGTGGACGGCGACCCTTCGTCCATTACCGAAGTACGGGTGCCAAAAGTGCCGGCGGAAAAGTCAGGCGCGGAAGCCGAGGAGCTGGCGAAAGCAGAGGAAGAGCAGACGAACGGAACAAGTGCCACAGCAGTTTCGGAGGCACCAGATTCCGCACAGGCCACGACCCGCACGGCGACGCTGTATTTCTCCCCGACCGACAAGCTTCCCACCGACGCGAAGCCCCTGATGCGGAACCAGTCGGACTTTTTCTCCCCGATCTGCGGGAACACGGGGAAGGACAAGTCCCGGGTGATGGAACTGCGCGTCGACTCGGAGGACGACAAAAATCTGATGCTCTCCGGCAACAGCAGCGGGCGGATCCACCAGTCCGTGATGATGGTGGTCCGCAACACCGAGAACACGGCGCTCTGCCTGTGCAACGGCCTGCACAAGGGCTGCAGTGCCCCGGGGTGGCGACCGCTGGAGCAGCCATACTACCTGGAGGAGGTCGCGTATCGCGAGAAAAAAACTGTGTTAGTGTAAGTCTTTTGGGAAAACAGCATCACAAGTTTGTCTGCCATGACAGGAAAAACTTGTTATGCGCAGATAGGAAGGGAAGACACATAGGAAGCGAGCCGATCATGCATATCGAGCATGACAAGTGTAACTGTTTTGCATTTTCTGCATCACAGATTTACACTTACACAGTTTTTTTCTTTCATATCGCGTCCGGGATGGAGAAGGACACTCTGCTGAAGATCGACAACAAAATATCCTATTTAAAAACGTCCCCACCCCATAGCTGTAATGCAAATCTGCATGCTGATCATGTTTCTCATGCGGAGCCCCATGAGAAGCAGTTCCAGCCGTGTTTTGCAATTTGTCATGCTCCAATCAGCATGGTAGGCTAGATCTGTGATGCTGCTGAGCTAGCTCAAACAGCACTACACTACGAATCCAAATTTGTCATGCAAAACAGCCAAAACTTGTGGATTTGTCTAGCCGATTCCCCATCTTGACTATGGTGTGGGGACGTTTTTGCTCAGGATACAAAATTCCGAGCAGCATGATGAACGTCAAACTAAGCAGCTTTTTAGATACCCGCGCGACGCCGGTAAGCGAGGCGGGGGAAGACAACGCCAGGTTGTATCAGCGTGATGTTTCTGCAACCACTGCCGTCCGGAGAGCGGGGCCTGGAGCAGGTGTTGCAAATTTTCTTTCCAGAGGAAATATTGAAATAACCAGAAGCAGAAGGACGAAGCCAGGGCTGCTGGGAATGCGCGCTGGCTTTCCAATGGTTTTATCTGCAAATAAATCTTCTGCGACGAGCTTTCAACATCTCGAAGGTGAGCCTCTGAAGATCAGGCTCGTGCAAAAGGCGAAACAGCCAGGCTGCGACGCGGACATGCAACTTCCGAGAAGATCGCGTGGCGTTGTGATCATGAAAGCAGCTCGGTTGAATAAACGAAACGGTAGAACAATGCAAGGACTCGCTGTTTCATCCTCCTTCGCAGAGCACATGGTGGAGCAGAACGCGCCAGATTACCCACCGTCGCTCGACGGCCCCGGGGAGCCACACGAGAAATTCGTCCGCGTGGGTGCCGAGGGGCCGCTGGACGAAAAGGCGGTGATTCGGGAGGCAACGCAGGTGCGGATCGAGCCGGTGGTTGTGGGGCAGATCAACGGTCTCGACAAAATGAACAACAAGCCGGCACAGTACTTCGCGGACCAAGAGAAGCGGGGCGGGCCGATGGACGAACACGGACAGGTGTTCAACAAGAAGATGCAGGAGGACAAAAAGAGTTACGAAGCAAGCGAGGTGGCGGAGATCGCGAAATTGAAAAAATACGAGGATTATTTGAGAAAAAAGATCGTTTTGCAAATGGAAAACACCGAGCCAATAGTAACGAAGGCAATAAGTTAAGAAGAAGGCGCAAAGCAAGGGTCAGTAAAGTAAGTACTTACTTAGACCCCACAGTTGGGTACATCATCATTCTACTGCTGATAGTTGACAAACTCTTCTTCTGATAATACTGACAGATCATTTATTTCGCACCGAGCTACAACTGCTGCGGCTGCGAGTACAAACTACAAGAAACAAGAGGCAATATTCAGTTTCTTGTAGAATCTGTGAGGATCATGCAAGCCTTCTTTTTAGCTTTGCCTGATTGTAGCTTTTGCTTTTGAGTAGATTTTGGTACTGACGGAGTTCTTGCGTTTCATGTTTCATTTTTGCTTATGGACAATTCGTGAAGATGTAGGAAATTAATGAAATGGATCGGTTGTGTTATGACGTACGTCGATCTGCAAGTCTTGGGATTTCATTAGCAGCGCGCGCGTGTTCGGTGCTCGGCCGTGAGTTCAGAAAGGCTCAGAACTGTTCTTGAAAAAAGTGGAAAATTTGGGGACGTCTTCAGAAAAGCGTGCGTATCCGTAAACCGTATGAACTGTTGGGTAAGTGCAAGTAGTTTCAAGCAGAAGTACCGAGAAAAAGTGGCGGATAGATAAACATTTTCTGAAATGGAGAAGCTTCAAAGAAGTGTGAAGACGATGAAGACCAAATATTTTTTGCCATGTACTACTCTATCTCATGTACGGTTGCCACTTCTAGTACTCACCTGGTCTAGTACAACCTGGCCGCATCCCGATCCCTATCCTCCCCACTCTCGAAAGAGTTTTTTCTTCTGGCGGGGAGCTTCTATTCTTCAATAGGAAAAGCAGTAGAGCTACATCATATTTTTCCGCTGCAGTGAACGCGAGCACATCACGATCCACAAAGAAGTAGCAACATGTGATGTCAACATACATTTCCGGGTGGTGCGGTATAGATGCAGCAGGTAGACTGATGCCTGGAAAAATGGCACACTAGCATTGAAGAAAGTAAGCAAGAAACGAGATACAACCATTCGTGCGGAAACCGAAACAGAATATTTACATAACATCAATTCAAGATGACGAAGGAGGAAATCTGTCCGCGGTTGTTCGTCTGCACCCTCGGTGACAAGTGCCCCTACGCCCACAGTGAGCGCGAGATAATCCGCCCGGAGCTACGGGACAAGAAGTACAAGCGGAGGCGCTGCATGTACCGGGACTGCGATGTGGTAGGCAGCTTTCAATGTTTGTGTTTTTACATTTGCAATTTCATTTTTTTGCATAGTTGCTGTGAAGGCAGGTTGTTTAGCTGAAACGTCATTTCCTGGAAAAAACCTGCAGGTTGGTTGTTTCGACGCGCATTCGGAGTACGAGCTGATATGAAATACAAATATGTCCGGGTCTGACTGGAAGATGTATACTCTCGTTTGTCATGCATTTTTTGGATGAAACGTCTGCATATGATTACTTATGAATTTGAATAATTTTTGCAGGTTTTGCAAAGACTATCATCTCCATGCCTGAAGCTGAAGACCGCCTCCTGCACGAAAACCTCATAGCAAAAAGTTGGCAAGAGCTGGAGTTGTTGCTTATGCCCCCGCTCAGATTTATTTTGGACAAATTGGCGTCGGGAAATTCCTGCCCGACCTACACGACATATTTGCCCTGCATACCTGGCTGCGACGAACAACTTGTACAAGCTCGATGTTTGCAAGTACCTTCCGAACTGTCCCAATGGGGACAAGTGCACGTTTTGCCACGTGGAACCGGAACTGGAGATGTACGTCGCCGTGCACGAGCGCGTCTGCGAGCGCTGGGAGCCCCTGGACGAGGAGGAAGCCAACCGCGTGCAGGCGTTCCTCGACCGCAAGACCGAGGAATGGTTTCGGAAGTACGGCCGCGACGGGAAGCCGCCGGCTAGCAGCATGGAGCGCGTCAGCAAGGGGGTGGTCGTCGGCGCGCAGACAAGCGCGGGGAGCAGCAGCAACCATGTCGCAAACAATGCCGGCGATCGGTACCGCTACCAGAGGTTCGAGAGGAAAGTTGACAGCCGGCCCGGCGAGGGTAACAAGTCGGGTGTATGGATGAATGCGAGGGTTGTCCTTTTATCAGTGAAAAGAATCCTCGGTCAGACGACTATTTGATGTGCAGTTAAACCGTTTTTTACTTATGCGTTATAATAAACTGCTTTCGATGTGTTGTGAGTGTGTTATGTATTCGTGTGCTCTGGAGGCGTACTTGCGTCCCCACGTTTCAGTTGGCATCTAGCACACGGGGCCTGTGGATTCATTTGTTGCAGCAAAATTCGCTATGTTGCAAGAGCAGCCTCAGTTACATTCCACATCGCCCGCCATCCCGGAAAACGTCCGACCGAAAGGGAGACGCCACAGCATCGGGAGTCTCGGGCGCGGGAACCGGAACTAGAAGCGTACTTGCCAACATGTTGCTTACCTCGCGCAGCCTAATGGAATGCCGATCGTTTTCGTTATTTCGCCGCGTTGATAGTGGTCTCGGTATGTTCTGTGCAGGAGCTCTTGCAGTGGACACATAGCTCAGCTGGTTTGGACACATAGCTCTTGCTTAAGAATAGCTAGAGTTGTATCTTGAAAAACTGAACAAAAACATCAGCCCATCAAGCCAGTTCCGCAGGGAAACAATAAAGCGACGTCGCATCCAGTGAATGCGCTGATCTGTCCACAAGTGCCCCCCTCTGCTGCTGCGACCGATGGCAGGGCCACGTTCTCAACAACGCAGTTGGAAACGCTGAGAAAGTCGGAGAATAAAAGTGACAATTATGCACCAGGGCGACGAGGTCAGGGGGATGAAGATCGTGTTGGCGACCAGAAGAGGCCTGCGAGGAGGACCTCTTCGGGTCGAGTGACAGAACAGAGGCCCGAGCCAACCGGGCAGCTGCGCAGCGCGGCGTTTTTTGACGGCAACAAGTCCACGACAACGACCAACACTGTGACGCCAGATCTGGCTACAGGCAGTGGCGCAGCGGCAGCTGCACGCGGGACGGCAAGCACGACGCACAGAGGAGCAGAGGCCCCCGCACTTGCGACAAGTGACGTTTCCACTTCCGCCCGACCACCGCCTGCTGGCGCTACGTCGGCTACTACTTCGGCAGCGGTACTGCGACCGGAAGGAGTTGTCAACAAAATGGACGGGAACAACAAGAAGCCCGCCTCTTCTCTGAAGCCCTTGTTTCCGTACCCGCACCTCGTGTCTTCGGGAGCCGCCGCGGCGGCCGCGCAAGAAAAAGCTGCGGCTGGTGGAACAACAAGCAATGTGAATAAAACTACGAATAGTGGCAGTGTCGTCGGCCTTTTGGAAAAGATAGTGTCCAAATCTACTTCAAGTAGTGTGGCGGACGAGAGTGCCGTCGTGGAAAACAAGGACAGGGACTTCCGGTCCGACCGCGGCAAGAACGCGACGCCGCGGGCTGGGGGTCCGACGCGCGAACAGGAGAAGAAGAGGCGAAAGCACGACCACGTGAGCAGTCGGGGGACCCCAGGTAGAGCGATTGTGGGTCGCGAGAGGAGAAGAAGTCACAGCCTGTATCAAAGTGAAAAATCCCCCCTCCCCGCATCGAAAAGGTATGTTTCTGAAAATTTGTGTTGCTGATTTGAGGCCACAAATCACGTCTGTCTTGCAAGAAGACAGGCGCAGAGGCTTCCGCACCATTATGGACGCGATTTGGCATGCTGTTGCGGCTAGGGGGCACCCGTTTGCAATGCTAAGCAACTAGACCTATACGCCCCTACCTAGGCCAAGGATCTGGCTGCGATGCCTTACTGCAAGACAAATCCGATTTGTGTACCCAAATCCTGCATCACGGATTTCCATTTCGATATGGGGAGGGGGGATTTCTCCTTTTGATAGCCTGCCCACGCCACGGCGCGCCGGGGACCGGGATAAAGACGAGCGAAAGAAGAAGTCTCGGAGCCCCCGACGGGCCGCTGGTGGGGAACGAGACAACACCAGAGTAGACCGGGGTCGGCATCAGACGTCGAAATCGCGGCGCGACCGCGTCATTGCTATCAAATGCAAATATGTCTGGGTCTGGAAGAATGCGACATCTGACATGCTAGTCTGGCATGACTCTTAAATCTGTCACGCACGTTACCCAAGAGCCCCATTTTGCTGTCATGTATCGTATCGTATCGTTTTGACATTTGACTCCTGTCAGGGTGGCGTTAGAACAGATTTAGCCGCTGCCAATGCCGTGGCGTTAGAACAGATTTAGCCTCTGCCAATACCGTGGCGTTAGAACAGATTTAGCCTCTGCCAATACCCCTAGGTGGACACCCGTTCCACGTCCTACAGGTACCACCCGACCGCATCCGCCGAACCGCTTGCGATTGCTTACGCATGAGTACGGCCAGTGGGCGCTAGATGTGGCTGACCTGATTTACCATCCAAGCCCTCGAGCAAGGTGGAGCTCCAGTGTTGCCTTGTTGGGTTATTCTTACAAACATTGAGCACTACAGCTTCTGTGGTCGGTTGCGCGCTAGATATACAGGGGGTCTATTGGTCACACACGTTGACCCTATCACGATGACGGGCAACCCCAAAGCATGCCCCTTTCAAGCACTTTACCGACCTGCATCCGCGCACCCTTTTTATGCGCATAGGTAGAATCGGACATTGAAGCTCCGCGCTAGCAGAGCCGCCACCGCGCCCGCCCCGGGGGGACCCCTTGGGGAAGGGGGGTGCTGCCTTAGCGCAGTCTTTAAATTGGCAACCCTGTTCCCACCTACTAGTAAAAGGGACGCGTTGACGACGACGGGATAGCAGCGCCGTGCCTATTGGCTGGCGAGGACGAGATGATTAGCAGCGCCGTGCCTTTCAGCTGGCGGAAGCGGAGCCCTTGCAGGCTAGCTGAGACGACCAAGGGAGCCACTTTTTCTTTCTTTTTCTTTCCTCTGCTTCCTCTTCCCTCCGCCAACACCCAGAACACTGCTCCCCCATTTTTCGCCCTTCTGTTTCGTTCTCTTTCTTTCTTTTCATTATTTTCAACATCTCTTTCATCATCGTTTCTCAGTGCTTGTTCCTAAACATCTGGGCTAACTCTTCCTGTAATGAATTATCATACTTCAGTCTTTTCATAGATCTCCTTTCTTCCTGCCGTTTGCGCTCCTCCTCCCGTTCTGCTGCCTCTTCGCGGTCCCGCTTCCGGTCCCTCTCGTTCAGCTCCTCCAGTGTTGGAAATCTTTCCTCTTCCTTTTTATCTTCTTTGTCCCTCACTGTTTCGCTTATGTCTTTGACGATTTTCTTTCTCAGACTTCCTGATCTCCCCTCTCCGCCTGGTTCTTCTGCTTCTCGTGATGTCATTTCTAGCTCCTCCTCCTCCTCTGCCACTTGGCGCACTTGCTGCGTGTTCTTCTCTTGTCGCGTCGCGTCTTCAGTGACTTCTTTTTTCGCTGTTTTCTGTTCTTTCGGGATTTCCCTCT